CTACCTGAAACTACCAAAGCAATTCTAATTTTATCCAAATTTAAAGAAACTAATAATTACCTACTTTTGTAATTACTTTCAGGAAAATGTTATAGAATATATTCACCATCTAGAAAGTCTGGACAATTTCTCACTACCCTCAGACAAGGAACAATAACGGCAAGTTTGAAACACCTTTGATTAAATAGATACAATATTTAAGTATTATGGGAATAATAGCTTTCCCAAGTATCATTCGCACCTATAATAAACTACATTATGTAGATTGTACAGGTAATTCAACCTAGTAACGAAGCAAAGCCTCCTGGAACATGTTCAGCATATAAAAATCTGAACCTACTGAAGATTCAAATTCTGCAAGAAACTCAAAAATATCCCAAAGTATTAAGCAGGTGTAGGAAATTAATTTAGAAACCATAGTAAGATACAAGGGGAAAAAGCCGAAAGATTCTAAAGCCACAGGTGTGGACATTTAAAAGTAAAGTCAAGGACACTTTCCATGAAGTGTGCCTCTAGACCTACTACTACTTCCCTAGATTGGAATTTTGCAGATGTTCCTCCCATTTATGCAGGCCACAAGTAGCACAGCAGAAAAGCTGCATCCAATCTAGTCGGCTTTTGGAATCTTTTCAGATTCAGCCACCATTTTGATTAAATATTTAAAGAAATGTAGTTTGTGGGGGGAAGGGGGGGGGGTGTTTGAACCAAAAAAAAATTATATAAACAAGGCTGTCATGCAAACTTTGCAAATTAACCACCTAATAAAGTACTTCCAGCAACTGCATACATGGATTTTTTTAAGGGACCATTATATTAGTTTATTGTAAAAGTTCAATGTCGACCAATATTTTTTTTGGACTAGTTGTACATGAAAAGAGATGCAACAGTTCAAAGTTAAAGTACTGCACCCTAAATAGAAAGATTTAATTTTTCTTTTCAACGAATATTACATTTTCAAGTGTGTATACAACCACACATTTCATATAATCATTCTACGACTTTTCTAACATGAGCATATGAAGGATATGAAGTTGGGTTTTTCCAACACTGTTTTCCTAATACAAATAGTCAAAGTGCCCCCCAAAAACATATGCAAATTTAACATGTTTGCTATTATGAAATCTAATGAACTTTGTGAAAAAAATGCCAACTACAGATTTGAGACACTAAGGTGTAAGTTTCATGTAAATTTATTAAAAAATTTAAAGTTAAACATTATTTTACTTGTTTGTTTAAATAAAAGTCTAAGGTGCTGCCATCTGTGGCAGAGGTTGACAACCAATTTCATGGCCCCCTTGGCACCCTTACAGATAGGCTTACATGCCATCACGTGTACAAGTTTCATGCAAATCCTTCAATAAACAAATAAAATTAAAAAATCTTTACTACAACTATTTTTTTAATATAGGCTGTTGTGATAGCCAGTCAGACATCATTTCAGTTGACACCATTTTTTTATCTAATTTTTTTTTTTTTTACCCAATTCAATATTTCTATTTATTCTATGATGCCGAGATTGACCAGATTAAACCCTTTCCATATACAAAGGGTCAAAAAAGTGAAATCTTAACCATTTTGAAAAACATACCTAATGGACCCCTTAAAGCTTTTCACAACCTACCACACAACTGGCACGGAAACTAAGCACATTAAATAACTTTCATTAATCTCGTTCACCCAACTAATACCACAGCATGGACACCGATTTTATCTACTTTAGACGATATTTAATACCAGCCAATAATTCATTCTTTATGAAACTGACATTAGTAAAAATGGTACAATGCAAGCCAGATAGGATGCTATCCATTTCTTCACAGAAAATTGATCAATTAGCAAAATGATGTCAAGATAAAGTTGAATGGAACATTGAATCAATGGTTTAAAGAGAAACACTAATGCAGAACAAAAGACGCTTTTCCCACCCACTATTATCCAATGGAACAGTCCCACTAAAGCCATAAATGCCAAGTTAAGCTGCTGTTTAAGATAAAGCTTTACAAGCTAATTAAGTGGAAAAGGGGGGGGGGGACCTGTGACAAACTGCCAATGGGGGGGAGGGGGGAGAGGGTCAGATTATCTACCTTTTACATGTTAGTGTAGACCTTCCTCCCCACGGGATCTGGGCCTCGTCCACTCCGACGTTGTCCAGAGCTGGTGCCGGCTGCTGGTTATAAAGTATGCCATTCATTACTTCAGGAAACTACTTCCTCAATCTTCGCCATAGGGTACATCAGCTCAGGACCCTGAGCTGATGTACGAACAGCACCCTGGCAAACCACTTCGTTCTATTCAATTTTTTTATTTAATCACTTTGTCCGGCTAGAATTTTTAGATTAGATTAAAGGAACACCCTCCCTGGTAACGGCTGAACTAGTTAACCAAATACAAATATTTAGGTAAAATACTTTCATAAAACCTGTCTACTTCCCCCACCAGTAGACTTGTTCAGCTAAAGGCATAATGTAGTGTTCCACTTTAGTAAATAAAGACAAAAAAACACTACCCCATCTGTGTAGTTACCGGTTACCTGACATTCTACGCTTAAAATAACCCATCTATTCCCCATGATTGTTCGATATAACTTACCTCTCACCCGTTGGTCGAGTACACAGCAGTATATATCCTCCTCCATCACTCACCGCGTGGATACTATTTCACTCTGGCCGCAAATTGCCTCAAATCACCTACGTTGTCCATAAACATATATAGAAAAGAAACTGACCGTAACACCCGTATAGCGATCATCACATAACGTGGGAACATTAGTAGTACTGCTGTCAAAACATAGATGGCGCCAGGACAAACGGTAATTCCTATGGACTCGCCTAGTTATGTGTAGGGAATTGAGCTTCAGCTGTTTGGTCCCGCCCCTCAGCTGTATTCACCTAGTTGTACTCACCTAATTTGTGCTTGCAGGGGTTGAGCTTTGGTTCTTTGGTCCCGACTCTCAACCGTCAATCAACAGGTGTACAGGTTCCTGAGCCTATTGGGCTCTATCACATCTACATTTGAAATTGTGTATGGAGTCAGCCTCCACCACATCACTGCTTAATACATTCCATTTGTTAACTACTCTGACACTGAAAAAAATCTTTCTAATATCTCTGTGGCTCATTTGGGTACTAAGTTCCCCTTGTTCGTGTTCCACCCGTGTTAAAGAGCTGTCTTTGTAACTATCAAAATGCATATATCTTTGCTTTCACTTCAGTTATATTTATGACAAGGGATTTAAAATTTGCCTATATTTCTGCTTCTCTGATGACATTAAAAACTTTCGTTTATTACAGTATCTACATAAAATTAACATTTATCTTCATTAGGTTCTAGTTCTCATCAATAGGGAGAGCGTCGGTAAAAAAAAAAATTGTTTAAATATGGTCACTGCTTCACAAGCGGGGATTTTTCTGGCGGGGGAGAAAGAAACAATTGCGCAGCGCGTCCCGCGGCGTTGCGCGGGCAGTTTGGGGCCGTATAAATACGGGCGCACAAATGCCTGCTGAATGATCCAAACTTAAAGTACACACTAAAGAACGAAGTAATCTTCGTTGAATGCGACGAAACCACATTGTCAAAGGACCTTTTCCCACCAGACTACGCCGATTACAAACATCAAATGATTACTCGAAGCAAGAAGAAAGAAGAAACACCAAATTGAAGAAGAAGACACCACATGAAGACAGATTGTTTCCACCTTGAATGCTGAAGCACTGCCACCGCCGCCTTCCAGACCCGCCTCCAAGCCTAGCCAGTTGTTGGGTTGGTTGCAGCATCGACGTATTGTCACGCAGCTGGGTTTAGCCCTGGCACTTTTTCTTCAACTTCAGCATTTCCTCTCACCGACTACTCTTCAGCTGTCCCCACTTCAAGGCTCGCCCCAATGGGCATCTTCTCCTGTATTATTCAGTTCAGGGCTCTGCCTCACTCCGCCCGCCCTCGCCGCTGCCCTCGCAAAAACATCTTTCCTCTCTCAATAATATGCCCGAAACGCTATGCGTACTAGTGGCTTTAGGTATTGTATGTACTAGCTCTATCTATAAATCCAATATTATGTTTGTAAATCGACTATTTATGTACTTTCCTGAATAAAATGAACTTTACTTTACTAATATCTAATCTCTGTGACTAAAACGTAAGAACGACTTTATCTATGCCTTTTTGATAACATATACAATTATAAGCTTTATTAGTGAATCTCTATTAATTAAACAATATATCAGAGAGTGTGTAAGGTTCGGTGTTCCATGTGCGAAGAGACATGGGAGATTTTACATCAGTACAGTAAATGTTTTAAGTAGCGAACGCATACTAACGAATAACGATTAGTATAGACCAACACTATTGTTCTATGAAGTCGATTTAACTTCCAGACATGTATTTTTCAATAAGTCTTAAATATTTTCTGGCTAGTTATGTTAGATATTATTAGAAATACGTATTCTACTTGTTAATATAATAAACTAAATTTGCGATCATTTAAGGAGAGAAGTGCGACGACTGGATCACTGTGTACAGAAGGTTGATATGCCAACAAACACTTTCCAGACAACAATATATCTTGGATAAGTCGCTCCACAACATTGACACCTGGACCGTTGACTTCCTATGAGGCCACATATTTACTTATTTCTTAATGGAAGTATATTATTTTATAGTAAATATATGTTTTCTCGTGTTCTGCATTAAGCACCAACATTATAGTGAATAAATATACCATATTTCTTCATTATTTAAGTAATGCTAGGAGGCTTTGAGTAGCTTTGGGTCATTAGGTGAACAGAATCTCCAATAGATGGGGCGAGAGTCGCGCTATCTCTCGCCCGAGCGAGAGTCGAAACTTATTTTAGAATTGATATATCTTTGTCCTCCAACAAGATATATTTCCTTTGGTGCACTCACAATAACGAGCATATCTCTGTCTTTCTGAAGGCATATAATATTTTAGGCTTTATAAGCGTATCTTTGTTAATTACACACTATATTGGCAAGTGCGTAGGCTTCTGCATTCCATGACCGACAAGCTACTGAATGCCACTATAAAAACGTATGTATCTTCACTTGAGCTTTATATATGTCTATGTTAAAGTATTTAAAATGAAGCTTATATTTCTATCTTTCTTGAGACATATAAAACATATGTGTTTATTAATGAATTTACGTGAAATAAGCATTGTTCTGAGAGAGAGTTGCTCTGTCGATCAGTCTGTGCGGGGTCGGAGCTCGGCGATTATTAAAACACATGTATCTTCATTAGAACTTTATATATATCTATGGTAAAGTATTTAAAATGAAGCTTATATTTCTATCTTTCTCAACACATATAAAAACATTTGCGTTTATTAACAAATTTACGTGAAATAAGCATTGTTCTGAGAGTTACTCCGTTGCTCGATCTGTGCGGGATCGGAGCTCGCCGATTAGAAAAATACACGTATCTTCGCTTTAAATACAAATATGCCCATGGTAAGGCATTTAAAATGAAGATTATGTTTCTATCTTTCTTGAGACGTATAAAAATCTTACGTTTATTAACGATTCTGCGTGAAATAAGCATTGTTCTGAGATGAATATTGCGGATTTCCGGCTCTACGACCGATGAAAAATGCAACTTTTATACAACTACAAATATCTTTAGTTTTACTTTAAATTTTGTCCTGAAAGAGTTTTCATATATAGATCCAGTTTCTGCCGTTCTTCTGACATAAAAAGACCTTTGGTTTAATAAGTTATTAAGATGTTTTCAACAATATTACTAGGGCGTTCACCGATTCTAACATGGGCGACCCTTTTGGAAACGCAACACATGGGTTGACCTGATTGATATATGGGTCAGATTCCATTAAGGTTCGGAACAGTGCCAAAGGGGTCCCAAACGGAATACTAGTCACTTGGTACACAAGACGGATCGCACACATATATTGTTATCATTACAGACACAAAAGTAGTACGTTTCGTATATATATTGTTCAATATTAAAACCACAATATAATGCTATTAATAAATTAAAATCTTGTACTTAACAGGCATATAGTTATTAAATGAAGTTGAGTGATGTGATGGATATAATCCGGGCTTCATAAAAACGACGGCCGCCAGCGTTAACACTACACAACATAGGAAAAAAAAACACAGACTAAAACTTAATAGTAATTGGGATTAGGTATAAATTGTGTTGAAAAAAAGGAATAAAAAATAAAAAGGGGGGAACATGGCAGAAATCAGCAATTGTACAAGTTGGAGAACAAACAGCATTGTTTAACAAAAAGCAAAACATGGGTTAACATTTAGGGAGGTAAGGTAGGTTACAATATGGAGTTAATTAAGTAGCACTTGGTTTTACTCTTAAACTGGTTGAGAGAGGTACAACCTTTAACATGATTGGGGAGACCATTCCAGAAAAAATTCCTTCCATTCTAGAAGGATCTAGAAAAAGCATTCGAACTTGCAAGCCAGCAAGCAATTTTACACACTTTAGTTAAAAAAAAAAGGGTGTGAAGGGCACTATGCAAGCATGGATTCAAGATTACCTAAGTCACAGGTATGCCAGAGTAAAGTTGCAAGGACATGTGTCGGACTACCACTTGCATGAGAATGGGACTCCACAAGGAGGAGTCCTCAGTCCTGTCCTTATGGAAAACCTCGTTTTTGCGGTTGGAAGAAAATGCGCACAGAATGGGAGACTTATTTTATTTTTATAATAATAATTAATTATTAAATACAAATAATTAATAATAATAAATGATTAATTATAATGATAATCCTTAAATGAAGAAGCATAATAGCTAATTATAACGAATAGAATAGATAATTAAAGTGGATAATTAATTATGGTGACTAATAATGATTAGTGAATAACCATAAATTCTGATCGGGGAGAAAAAACAAGCCAGGAGTGGGGGGACCTTAATTTATTAAGTAATGTTTACAGAGCAACTGCTGTACCACAATAAAAGATGTCGTGTAACATGACTGAGTAGAATGCCAGTACTGCAAGCTGCAACTAAGGGAATGAGTCGTAGGACATTAACCGTGCCTAGTGCCGGCTAGCCGAAGTAAAGTTGCAGTACTCGCAATCAGCTTAATACTATAATTAAAAACAATGCCAGAGGTAATTGAGTGGCACAGCCAGTACAGTATGTATAAAATATATTCTGTATACACAGAGGGCATATAAAAGAATAGATAAGAATTTCCAGGGGTAATGATATGCTAGTGCCTAGTTTACATGTAAAGTCTGCAACCCTTAACTTGCACTACAAGAGAGCACTTGACATATGGAAGTAGCTGTGGGCAGCCCTAGACTTGGGGATCCGGCGCAGCACCCCCACTCCGCAGGCCAGCGAAGCCGGTCCCCCGGCGGAGCACCCCCCCCAAAGATAAGACAAATCCGTTGCAAGATCGAACAAGTGTCCCGAGAAACCTGCTTGAGTGCTTCCATTGGAAAGGAAACTGGGGATCCAGACGATCCCGAGAGGAGAGTGGGCGTTTTGTAGTGTAGCGGCTGTGGAGGAGGCGAACAGAGGTCGCATGAGTGGTTGTGGTGGTTTAAGATTCAGCTACTGGGAACAAAACGTTCCAAGTAGCACGGGCTATGGTGAGCCCGTAGTGGACTTGCCTGGCACAGGAGCGGGGCTGTAACGACGCACGAGTTGTTGTTGTTATAGATTCAGCTACTCGGAACAAGTTCCAAGTAGCACGGGCTATGGTGAGCCCGTAACTTACCTGGCACAGGAGCGGGGCAAGAAGCACGGGCTATGGTTAGCCTCGTGGACGGGAGATGTCTCCCGGCATGAGTCTGTGGGCCCGCTTTTAAGTACCCCACTCGGTGCACGCGTAACTTAGGCGGTTAGACTCAACTCTTAGTAATACGTTTTCTGAGGGTTGGAAGAAAACGTGCTCAGATTGGGGACTTGTTTATTTTATAATGGTAAATAATAAATTAATATATAAAATAATAAATAATAAATTAATTATTATTATATAATAAATAATCACTGATTTTCTCAGCAAAAGTGGTGAAATTCTGCGAGGAAGAAAATGCATTACCATGAGTCGGAGACTAACCGACTAAGTAGCGCGCGCACCGAGTGGGGTACTTAAATGCGAGCCGCGGACACAGCGATACTATGGGGAAGAAACAGATTAACAGAATTCTCACCTATCATGACAACTACGACGCGTTCCTCAGAAACGTCCTAAGCAGACCCCAGACATACGCACAACCTCTTTAACCTGATCGACGATCCACCTCCTGCTCCGTCCTTTACATAACCCCTCTCCTGTAATATACCACTACTCAAATCACCAAACTTCCAACTATAGCCTCCTAACTCTTCTTCCCCCTCTTTAGGGGGGGACCAACTAGCTCCCGTTCTCTGGTGCCTTGGGTGGGGCACGATGCTGATTAGCAGATCTAAGACCACATCTGGTGTGAGCCTCCAGGGCACACCCAGCTGAGGGTTACTATCTCCGTGGGTGCTCAGAAACATGAAATGTCACAAAAATCCGATTCCTTACCTTCACTGCCTAGTCTGGTCATAACGATTTCAATGCCATGCAGCTGGGTCTAGCCCTGGCACTTTACCTCATACTGAAAACCCTTCCTCTCACCCCCACTAATTCTTCCCCTATCCTCACTTCCACGCTCACCCATTAGGGTATCTTGACCTATATTTAATTCATTCATTCATTCACAGCGCCCTCTTGCTCGCCTCCGCCTCACCAGTTACACTATTTTCAGGATTTACTTCCGAACAACACCAACATTACTTCAGCACCAACATTATAATGAGTAAATATATCATATTTATTCATTACTAACGTATTGCCAGGAAGCTTTCTGAAGCTTGTGTAGCTTGTGGTAATTAGACGGACCGCTCAGGTGATAGTTTTCTATCTAGAACCACCCCTAGATCTCTTTCTTTATTAGAATTCTTTAAAGATTTCTCACATAATATATAGGTTGTGTGGGGTCTATGTTCTCCTATTCCACATTCCATAACATGGCATTTATTCACATTAAATTCCATTTGCCAAGTGGTGCTCCATATACTTATTTTGTCCAGGTCATCTTGAAGGGCATGACAATCATCTAAGTTTCTTATCCTTCCTATTATCTTAGCATCATCAGCAAACATGTTCATATAATTCTGTATACCAACTGGTAGATCATTTATGTAGAAAATAAATATCACTGGTGCAAGAACTGAACCCTGTGGTACTCCACTTGTGACATGTCTCCAGTCCGATACATTGCCTCTGATCACTGCCCTCATTTTTCTATCAGTCGGAAAATTTTTCATCCATGTTAGAAGCTTACCTGTCACCCCTCCAATATTTCACATGTGCAATTCTATATGCCATTGCTCCTCGTGCCTCTCTGAGGGGACCAGGTTCTGGCTCGTGGTTCCCGGTAGTCCTAAGAATTCCATTCACACTGATGCCAAAGTCTAATAGTTCCATATCAGCCTGGATAATTTCAGGGGAGCCTCTGGGTCTCACCCAGAAAATGTCGTTCATCACATTCAAGGCTGGTTTTTTGCCATGTTTTATAGCTGAGAGAGAAAGTTTGGAAATGCAGTAGTCATGAGTTTTGATAATTATACTGTATTACAATACAGTACCTGTATATATTTTGATTTCTTAACTGAACATCATTTAACCACATTTTTGTTAACTTGCCTTGTTTGAGCAGCTGCCTTATTGCCCTGATGCCGTAGTTTATTTTGAAAGATTGTTGAAAAATAAAGTATTTGCACCTCAAAAACTATAGTAAAGAAATAATAATAATAGTAATTTTCAAATTCATATTTATTTAAATATTCATTTACTGCAGACGAGGAGTCACAATAACGTGGCTGAAATATGTTGACCAAACCACACACTAGAAAGTGAAGGGATGACGACGTTTGGGTCCGTCTTGGCCCATTCTCAAGTCAAAATCGACTTGAGAATGGTCCAGGACAGACCAAAACGTTGTTTTGGTCTGTATATGATCTTTCTTCATATATTGGTCAACATATTCTTTTACTCTTCAATGTCTGGATAGTCAGGATAAACTTTCCTCCAATGGTTAATATGGTCCAATCCAGTTGTTGCATAGCAAATGTAAATTTTCAACTGTCCATTCTTTGGAGACTTCCATTGAAAGGGGGTTTCCAATCAAGGAAGATGTCTCAATTTACTGTATTGCATCTATTTTGAAACTCCAGTACTGTTTCTGATGTGTAAAAGAGGACTAGGTTTTTGCATAAAGTCTTCAAAATATTTGGAGTCTTCAACGTTCAAAATGCAAAAGTACAGCAAGTTCAGTATCAAGTGTCCACTCAATGTGCCAAAGAATGATGTCACTGGCTCTTATAAAACAAATTTACATACATTATATAGTACTGTACACTGTAATTAAATAAAGAGCTCAGTATTGAGGCTCGCAATATTATCAGTATTCTGGGAAGTTAGTGTGGCACAGAGAGAGTAGGAAAATTGAAGAAGATAAAGATGAAGATGTAGACGATAATATTTTCATGTTAATGTGCCGAGCGGCATCTTACAAGCAACAGTGTATAAGTAGATAAAATAGGAGTAACTACAGGGAGGAAGTTACAAAGAAACTATTGTTCATTCTCCTTTACTTCTCATATTTAATATAAATAGAAAAAGGGCATATTAGCATTTTATGTGAAAACAATATCACTTGTCAATCTCACACAATTATTTATCTTTATCTGATGGCCACTATTCTCTAGTGGCTTTGGTAAACAAATTTTCATAACTTTTTTGCACAAGGAAGATAACTTATTAAAAAAATATTTTTATGCCTATTGTATGTTATATAATGGTGTTCCAGGCATTGTTATAAATTAAATTTTTCTGAGATATAATTTACCTAAGGCATTTACATAATTGCAGGTATGAAATATTAAACAAAAAATTACCAAAACCTGAGAAAATACATGTAATGTATATAATGGTAATTGCTAACATCCAAAATTTAATCATATTTACAATCAAATTAAATATGTGTTCTTAAATGTAAGATGATAAGGTGCCATAGTGTGTAAAGGAAATTAATCAGTGTTTTAAGACACTGATTGAGTAAAGGTTATTATTACAAAATATTACAAAATTATTACAAAATATTGTAATTTACTCATGAAGTAGTAAATGAAGATTCAAAGCAGACAAAGCTTCAGTTTATTTTATACAACAAAGTATTTAATAAAATAATAATTATTAACAAAGACAAACAAATTCTCAAGTAAAGAATGCACTCGGAACCAACACTTGCTTCATATATTGTAATGCAAAATTTACATTTATTTGTCATGTACATTTACATTTGACGAGATTAATAAATGACAGAAATATGTTGCATAAATATAAATTGTACTGTAAAAGAATTTACAGTGGTACAATAAATAACAATGATCAATCTGTATATCTAATACTGTACTGGGTTTCTTACACAGACTGCTGGCAGTGTGTGCAAGTGTTACTAAAACACACAATTTACATTTGTGCAAAAAAATAACAAAAGCAATATTTACTGAAGACTTTTGCATGTTAGCAGATACCAGGAGTAGAAAATGTTTTCAGTTTCTTGTTATATATAAGCATTAGACTAATAGAACTCTTACAAAATACAGTAATGTGCCCTCCTCCAGGTGAGATATCCCAGGTGTGTAATGGAAAGATAGATAAAAAGAAGATAAAAAAGATCTGCTCTAAAAGAAGAGCAGATAAAAAAATACGAAAATATTGTCATATTTTAAGTGTCAAAAAGATCTGAATGAGTGGCAGACCATTAAAGAAACATTCATGTGAGTGCAGATATATATACAGGTATACAGTTAATATACAGGTATCAACACTAGAAATAGATGCTACAAGTAGACAATTATTTTTGGCAGTTGTAGGTTTTTCTCTAGGCACTGCCACAAGTCAGGTGATCAACTTACAAAAGCATGTATGGACAACAACAATTAGAAATACTATGGACCAGAGGTAGTCCTTTGAATGTTTGAACTTAAAAGAGCACTTTAACCCTTCAGCTATGTTCAGTTGGTGTAATTTGGTAACACTCAGCCAAGTGTTTTATTGTCATACAAAAGTCTGGTATACATGTTAATCATTTGAGTACAATTGCCTGAGATGGATTAATTATGAATTAATTAAGGACAAGTGTAATGAATAGCCAAGATATACGTACAGTGAATCTGACCGAGAGGATTTTCAGTAGGCCTAAAAAGGACATGCTGCATAGGAAAGTGGGGTATAACATGTAGAACATGTTTTGTGTATAGTGTCATATACATATGTCATGTATAGTGACCAGTATTTAGATAGGTTATATGAACCATTGTGTTATATAAAGCAAATGGTAAATGGGTAAGTTACATGGCAGATGGACACTTGATTACTTCAAAAGCCCATTAAACCAGATATTTCAATCACAAATCCGAGTAAACTAAAAAAAACGTGTACTTTTTTATGGTATCCATAGGAGCAAGTAGAGCATGTAGGTTTGCAATTGAGACAAGTATTGTGGGTTTTATCCAAGGAGAGGTCCTGGTCTAGTTTCACAGCAGATCTTTCTCTAAGGGGCAACTAAATTTAATAGCCGAGGCAAATGGAATTACTGTACATGTAACAAAAAGATATTGATCTCTAAAACTATTTACTGTATAGTCATCTATCAAAACTTTTGCCATCTCTATTATATTAAGTACTAACCCTTATTTTTGTGTTGCAGTAACTACAGTATTCCCTACATGTATGACAAACAAAATTGTTATAATTTAAATATGACTGATAACGATAAGTGGTACAGTATAATAAAACCATTCTAATGGAAATTTTGCACGAACCCCCCTCGACAATATACTGTAGTGGGAAACTGTGTGCTTTATGCAGATTGACATAAACCAGAGGGTTATTTAAACTGCTGAAAACATGTAAATACACTATCATTTGATTGTCTATTCTAAAACCAATAAAATAATTGTACTGTACCATGTTACTTCAATATCAGTTTCTTACCTGTTTTATAAATAGGTATGAAAAAAGCTGAGAGGCCTTTTATTACATCAGTGCTGTGTATGCTTTCACATTGCTACCAAAAAATGCAAAAAATATTGTGCATTACATTCCTCAAAAACAGGCTTTTTATTAAATTTGAGAACAAAATTAGATAGTGTTTCAAAAATAAATGATTAATATGCCAAAAAATCAGTGAAAGACAAATATACTTTTGGATTGGTTCACTTTAGTGTAGTGGGTTCACAATCCAAAGGTCCCATTTTAGATTCCTGAAAGCAAGACAGGGATATCTGGGAAAGTTTCCCTTTTCCTGATGGCTCTATTTACCTAGCAGACAGTAGGTCCCTGGGAGCTAGGCAACTGTTGTGGGCTGCATCTTAGTAAGGGTCAGTAGTTGTGGTGGGGGGGGGGAGGGTGGAGGAACAATGATAAATTTAAAATTCTTCCTGTCCCTGATAATGGGAAACCAAATTAAAATTGCTTGCAATTTCTTTTTGCATATTGTCTTGCATATTTTATATTGCAATATTCATATTGTCTTGCATCTATTTATAGGAACTTGGTGGATTTTAGTCGACTGCTAGAAGTCTATCACATTAAATATAACATGCATTAGTTTTCCATATATAATATTGGAATGTTATTAAAATTAATTTGTTTGTTTTCAGCAAGATAATTTATTAATTAAAGAAGAATTTCTAGTACAATAATAGTCGATTAGTCTATAATATTGCAGAATCAAAAAAGGGATTTTAAGTATATTTGGGTTTAGCAACAAGGCTGAAGAAAGCACAGAATGGTGAATGATATGGAAAATCGGCAACAGATCAAGGTAAATGGGATTAAACTGAAAATATGTATCAGGAAAACATTAGCAGGTACTTGGCTAAGAGAATGATACTGTACTGTGCATATTACATATTTTATATAATCCAATTTTCCTCAGGACTGTGGGCCATTTTTCAGTATGAAATTAAATTTACAGCATAAGGAATATAGAAAGAGAGGTGCTCAATGTATTGTATTATGAGGCTTTAGGGAAAGTTTGGAAATTGATACATCCATAATAAAAATAACAACCCTTTCAATGCCAATAAATAATGTACATTTCTGCCTTCCAAAAGTTGTGTGTCATTGAAATGAAAAAATAGGATTCTAGACATTTTTTGTGTACATAAACAAATGCACTAAAAGATATCTTTTCAACTTTATAATCATTCAAATCTATTTTGTTTTCTTTTCAGTGGGGAGTTACCACTTCTCTCCAGTCAAGAATGACCTCCATACAAGGTACAGTATGTGCACAACACCGACTTAGTTCAACAATGTTGAGAATGGTCAAAAGAGGGGGGTCTTTCTTCTAGGTACTGTAAGTGGAGAATGATCAGAAGGGAGGTCTTTGTGAGGTAAGTGAATAAACCCTCTGACTTCTGCAAAAGAATAAATATAAAAATAGAAGAAACAATGTACGTGCTAGTAGAATGTAGTTACCTAAGTGTAGTTACAGGATGAGAGCTACGCTCGTGGTGTCCCGTCGTCCCAGCACTCTGTCATATAACTCTTTGAAACTACTGACAGTTTTGGCCTCCACCACCACCTCACTTGACTTGTTCCAACTGTCTACCACTCTATTTGTGAAAATGTGTGCACCTCTGCTGGTGATTGTACTGTAATTACCCAAGTGTAGTTACAGGATGAGAGCTATTCTCATGGTCTCCAGTCTTCCCAGTCATCTTTGTCATATGTTGCTTTGAAACTACCGATGCTTTTGGTATCCACCACCACCTCCCTTAATACATTCCAACCTTCTACAACTCTATTCACAAAAGAGAATTTTTGCATGCTTTTTTTCAGCACCTTTCTTAGCTTGAATCTATGGCCTCTTGTTCTTAAAGATGCAGGCTTAAAAAATTACTTGTCTATTTTGTTGATTCCCAATACTATTTTGTATATAGTGATCATATCTCCTCTTTTTTTTCTTCTATCTTCTAACTATGGCATATTTAAAACTACTAGCCTCTCCCCATAGTTATTGTTTTCAGTTCCAAAAGTCATTTAGTAGCATGTCTTTGTACCTTTTCGGGTTTATTGATGTACTTCTTAAGATGTGAACACCACACAACTGCTACATATTCCAGTTTGTCTCGCATGTGTTGTTACCAATTTCTTAGTATTTCACCATTTGTGCAGGACAGTTGGGTTTGTTCTCGACTCGTAATTGAGAATTCCAGTTTCGAATCTCGGGCAAGACAGAAATTGTTGGGCACATTTCCTATCACCTAATGCACCTATTCACCTAGCAGTAAGTAGGTACTCAGGAGTTTGTCAGCTGGTTGTGGGGTTGCATCCTGGGGAGGGGTCAGTAATTCAACCCTGGGGTGGGACCTCGATATAAGCCTAACATGTATATATGTACTGGCTGCCTGTCCCCCTGATACAATGAATTATGAATTACAATACTGTACTATGTATTTAATATAAATTTTGAAGTTAGAAAGCATAGCGTAAGTTTCTTGCACAGTGAAGTCCTCTGGTAACAGTTTACTATCCAGAACCATTCCTAGATCTTTGTCAAAGTTCCTTAATATCGTTTCACATAATTTGTAGGTTGTGTGTGTCCTATTTTCTCCTATTCCACATTCCATTACATGGCATTTACTGTATTCACACTGCATTCAATCTTCTGTATGTTGCTCCATTCACTTATATTTTCCCTAGTAGCTTAACATCATTAGCAAACATGATCATATCACTCTTTATGCCCTCTGGTAGTTCGTTTATATAGACAGTGAAGATTACTGGTACTTCTACTGAACCTTTTCCTACTTCACTAGTAACATTTACCCAGTCTGACACATTGCCTCTGATTATAGCCTTCTGTCAACTTTTCATCCACATCAGAATCTACCTGTCACCCCCCTCCAGCATGTTCCAGCTTCTAGAACATCCACGTGTGTGTGACTGTTGAAAGGTTTATTTAGGTCCAGAAAAATAGTCACCCCACCCATCTCTTTCATGTAAGATATCTGTGGCTCCAAGTAGATTTGTTACACACAGGATCTTCCTGTTAGAAAGGTATAATCTGTGTTTTTGTTTCTTTTTAGGTTTTCAACACTTTTGGTTTTAATTATTTTTTCTAGTGATTTGACTACCATGCTTGTCAATGATACTTGTCAATAATTTAGAAGGGCTTCTCTGATATAATTTTTTTGCAGATTGGAACTATATTTTCCTCTTTTCTATATATCTTCTAGGTTTCTTGTATGTAAGAGTGGTTGAAAAATTAATTGTAGCAGAATGCTCAGCTCAGGTGTGCATTCCCACAGAACCCAAGACAAGATCCATCTTGTCTCTTTCTAACTCATTGAGCAGTTTTCTATTTCATTTCTAGACACTTGTATGTACTCTTATGTTGTGCTCTGGAATCCATATTGTGTCTGGTTCTCTGAAAACTTCATTTTGCAGAACCACACTTTGAAATTGCTGGTATGTTTCAGGGTTGGCTGCTTCCTATATTGATTTGTCTTTTCTTCTTTAGCCATCTTACAATTTCTGTTGAACCCATCTTGCTTTCTAGTTCTGCATCTGTTTTGGTATACATTTGGTTGTACAGTACCTTCATGATATATCTCAAAAGTGGGCATACATTTCATTTATTTGTTTAACAACAAATCTATCCAATCAAATTTATTAAAGAACTTGCAAAATTCAAAATGAATAATGTCCTCTCCTTGAAGTTTTCAACTGTTTTACTTCCCTATTCTCTACTAGATTATAATGCATTGCATATTTAATTTCCAAAATGACATGATCACTCTTACCAAAGTCATACTGGCTTAGTTCTTTCTCCTCATAATTACCTAACCTTACCCAACAGAGGAATGTACTGAATGTCAGATATATATACAGTATATATATAATTTTTTTTCAAATATCAAATCCAGCATTGATCAATCATCCTCTTCCTTCATTCTCATTGCCTGTTTAATGTGTAGATACTAGTGGATGAATGTCACCAGGATGAGGTTTACTAATCTTCAAGTTCAAATGTCCTTCCTCAAAAAGGTAGACAGATGGGGTAGGGGGAGGTACCAAGAGGTCATAAATGTAAAGAATGACAGGTCAGAGGATGGGGTGACCGGCCAAATGTAAACAAATAGTAAATTGTAAATTTGTCATTGAAATTGAATAGTTTGAGTAGGTAGAGGTCTGGTGGGATGTCACTACCAGTATAAATGATTACAATTTCCTAAGCATCAAATCATTATGGGGCTAGAATGTTTTTGTCATAGGGAATAGATGAGTAACTTGTTCAGAAAGAGCTTTTCATTCTTAAAGCTTGATATTTGCATCTATTCATTTGTGCTCATAACACAACCAATGAGATTTGACACAGTTTTACACCAGAATAAAATGCGTTGTATACGTTACAAAAAATTACACTAAAACATTGCATTCATTTAATTGTGCATTGTTCTGTTAATACATATTTAAACTTTACAGTACCGTACTGTACATATAAGTATTATGTGCTTAAATTTTTGGCAGGATAAAACTCTTGATCCTGGAAAATATATTTTCTACACAAAATCCATAACAAAAGAATTATATAGGTCACTTTAATGCCAGGTGCCTGGAATGCCAGGTGCCTGGAATGCCAGGTGCCTGGAATGCCAGGTGCCTGGAATGCCAGGTGCCTGGGATACCAGGTGCCTGGGATACCAGGTGTTTGCGAACAAAGCCAGGAACTGACTGTACAATGTTTGCTAATCTTACATTTTCTGGCCCAGTGTGCATCAGACATACTCCCTCTCTGCTAACTAAATATGCACTGAAATTTGTACAAAAAATCATGAGATGGTTTAAGGGAAAATACTTTGTGTAATATATAAAAATCAATGAATGTTTCTTGAAATAATACTCATGTATTTATATTTGCCTCTTTGCAAAATATTTATCATATAATAGCCAAGTTTTAAATCACATTGACAGACTATACACAAGAAATAACATTAGCAGTTATCATGCAATATAGTCAGTTCTTCAGTTGTTTGCTTGACTTACCTACAACAAATATCTTCACGATATTAAAAATTATCGCTAAAGTGTCGGATGATTGAACAAAACACAATGTGCTGATAATGTAAAGAAGCACAAAGCTGAGAGTAGACTTTGTTCACTTTTTTGCTATGAAAAATTACTGTTCACCATACTGTACAGTATTCATAAAACGTTTGTTTGCAACTAATATTTAAAACAAAGGTCAAAAATTCATTCAATGTTGCATTTGTTTATTGACAATTGATATGTACTTAACATGAATTAATTACCACTGATAACATTCAAGCTTTTCTCAAAAGGAGTTTATCTCAATTTAACTAGTTGAAGTGCTTCTCAAAATACTTCACCTTCCTGAAATCTATCAGTGCAGTGAAAGGGTTAAATATGATATTCTCTAGGGGGCTTCAGCAGATCCAACAGTTAATAAGATATAGTTAAATGCTTATAGAGGCAAGACGTAAGGTGGTGATGGAATGAGGCAAGATATAAGAGTGATGGCTATGCATTTATCAATTAGGCTAGTGCATTTGGTAATGCAATACAGTACTACAATTTCCTTCATTTCAATATTGGTCTGGTTTTCGATGACTACACTTCTCTATACACTAGTAATTTTTTGTATGCTTTGATTGAGAGTATTGTATCCTTAAAATGTATCGGGTGTTGATCTTGGGTTTCTGTATGTAATATAAGCATTGTTAGTGGTATGGTATACATATACTGTCTTCATAGATGTTTGCAGTTGAATTTCTAGATTTTGCTCTTGCAGTAATTGTCACAAATTATATACATGTTATTTTATATTCCAATGTTGCAATATATCTGCTGTTAATTCAGCTTTAGATGAGGGGTTGCCAATTGTTAATTTTTTGTGCACAATTTCTATACATGTACTGTCTTTATTGTAGATGTTAAGTATTGTTCAGTATTTGTCCTGTTGGGAGAATAAGCAATTATTTCAATTCTGTTTAGTTATTGATCTTGTCCTTTTTCTAGAGTCTCAAATAAAATATTAAGAGTATATAAAGTTTAAGAAGGAATGCAAGATGTATTTACACAATTCCTGAAGGAACGACTAGCTTTAAATCTTAAATGCCTCGAGAAAGAATGCAATCACTGTGCCTCATTTTGCCCTAATGTGGTGAGAGTAAAAGTAAATAAGGTAATTGTTCTCAGTAGAGTTTGTCACTGTCAATTGTGTTTGTGAAAGAAAAGCCTTTTATTCCAGATCAAAACATCTTGATGTCGAAGTTTATGATAGCTTTCACACAATTTTACGATACTGGAGATAATGCTGAAGAATGGCCCCACTAAGTAATTCCACAAATAGGTTTGCTAGCACAGTACTAAATTGCGAACTTATTCTATGCCACATTATTGAAGTCAGAATGGCTTTAAAATGATATTTGATTATCCCACCTTACCATTTAAATACGCAAAATTATATGAATTTTGACATAGTAAAACCTACACAGCACGTTTAGTACGTTGATTGACAGTTGAGAGGCGGGACCAAAGAGCCAAAGCTCAACCCTCACAAGCACAATTAGGAAAGTACAATTAGGTGAGTACAGCAGTTGACCTTATATAAATGCATATGGCTCTCTCTCTCTTTTCACCTTGACATATAGTAAAAGATAGTAAAACAGTGAAGTTTATAGTAAAAGGTAGTAAAACACTGGAGTTTGAAGGCTACAAAAAATAACAAAATTACAAAAATTACCATGCCATTATAGCTTCCTGCCAGACACTACAAGCCTCTCATGAATGTAAGACCATCTAAGGTCACTTGTATTTCCAGTTGCATCAAACTGTGGCCAAAATCAGTAATTGGCCAACAATTGCATTATTGATTAGCAAGCAGCCAGTCTTGACCCATGAGCAGTCTGTTAGCCTTGGCTGATCAAACCTTGGTAGTATAAGGCAGCTAGGTGAGGTTCACTGAAATGGAAATGTCTAACAGAGTGAGAGAGAGAGATATATAGATATATAGAGTTAAAAATATATATATATATATTAGATAGATAGATAGATAGATACCTAGATACCTGTATATCATTGAGTGTTACTGTGTGTTTCAAAGCCCATCTGTTTGGTTATTCTAAAGACTACCCAAGCTCACTCTGGTCCCAACATCCTGAAGAGACTAAACACCATTTAAAGAGTTGTAGACAAGTTACATTTTGTTCACTTTTACTCTCACCAAAACTATTAAACAAATGCATAGTAACTGTAATCTTACTCAGGGCAGTTAAGATTTGTAATCTGCAGTTCCTTCAGTAACGATAATAAATTCCTTGCTAAACCTCAAACACAACTATATTTTACTTGAGAATGTAGAGAGAAGGCAACTATACTATCAAAACAGAACCAGAATGTTTCTGGTTCTCTCTCACCCAACATGACAGATGATGAACATTGTTACTAACATCTGCAATAAGGATAATATAAAGGTTGTGCACAAAACATCAATAACAATTAGCAACCACATTGGAAGTAGAACTGAACAAGATGAGAATTGAAGGTTTGCACACACAATGCCTTGTGGTAATTGTGATAAAGCATATGTAGGAAAAAATCTGGAAAATGTTATGCATTTCAGAAAGACAAGAACAGTATGAGTGTCATTCTGCTAAAATGAAGAGTGGTTATTTTACGCACAAATGAGGAGCAAGAGTTAGTTTTCCAACCCATCCCCCTGATTAGATAGTACCTATTGTGCCGATTGTCAATAGACAGAATTCATACGTTCTTAGCTTTTAAATACTGTAGTAGTATACTAACTAGTAAGGAATTTTTAAAATAAATGAAGCTAAAACACAAACTTTTCCTAATATTAGAATATTCCTAAATATTCCTAAGCCTAATATAGCGCACACATGTACTATAATAGGGCCTCATATGCAATAGGCCTAGGGAGGTTAGGATAGTTTAGTTTGTCGAAGCAACACAAGTAAACAATAGTTTTTCAGTTTGTCCAACTCAATAGTTCAGATTTCTACATTCTAATTTCATTGTACAGTGACACCTCAGCTTACAAATGCCGCTCTTTACAAACTTTTTGGGTTATGAGCCCAATTTCTTCATAAAATCCGAGTCGGGTTACAAACTTTGCCTCGGGTAACGTTGTCTGTTGAGATGCGTATGGCCAACCTAGCGCGTGGTGGCACGGCGACCACGCCTCAGTTTACCAGTGCCTCCCACCAAGTGGCAATCACGCTTGAATGCTTTGTAAAGAATTTCAGTATTTTTTTAATTTTTGGGTATTTGAACATAAGTTATTATTATATATATTGTCATGGGTACCAAGAAAGCCAATGGTAAGGTTCAATCCAAGAAGACACATGTGAGGATGACCATAGAGGAAAAAAAACAAAGAGATCATTCGTAAACATGAAAATGGTACACAGGTTGTTGAACTAGCTAGGCAGTACAACAAATCTGTCAACGATATGCACTGTAATTGCTAAGAAAAAGGACATTATGAGTGCTAAATTGGCAAAAGGTGTATCAACAATCACGAAACAAGGAACACAAACACTTGAGGATGTTGAAAAGTTGTTATTAATTTGGATACATAACAAGGAGTTAGGATGTGATAGCATTTCAGAGGCCATCATTTGTGAAAAAGCAAGGCTATTGCATGAAGATCTTTGAAAGAAAACCCCTGGAACAAGTGATGCAGATACGAAAGAGTTTAAAGCGAGCAGGGGGATGGTTCAAGAAATTTAGAAAATGAAGTGGCATTCACAGTGTTGTGAGAGTTGCGAGTGTTGTGTGTTGTAAGTTGGTGGAGGAATACAGCAAAGAACTGACCACCGAAGAAATCCTAGCCCTTCACAAGGAGCAGCAACAAGAGGCAGCTGAGGAAATGTCTTCAGGGGAGGAGGAGGCAGTACAGAATGTCCCTTTCTCAACAATTAAGTAGTAGTGTAGACTATGGGAAGAAATACAAACTTTTGTTGAAACTACTCGCCCAGAGCAAGCTGTAGTAGGCCATTGCCTTAACCTTTTTAATGACACTGTGATACCTCACTACAGACAAGTGTTACAACATAGGGAAAAACAAGCCTCTATGGATAGATTTTGAGTGAGAAAACAAGCAGTGAGCCACTAGGAGGTCCTAGTGGTATGCAGGCAAAACATACCAGAGAGAGTACCCTAGAGAAGTCATCACTGCCTGATCTTATAACGGAAGGGGACTCCCCTTCCAAACACTAACCTCTCCTCCTGCCCCCTCCTCACGGTCTTCCATATGCCAACAAGTCATCAATAAAGGTAGGTAATTGTATATACTTTAGTACTAAAAATTTGAGTGAATTAGGTACTGTATAAAATTACTTTGAAGTTAATATTTTTGGGAGTGCAGAACGGATTAATTCAATTTACATTATTTCTTATGGGAAAATTCACTTTGGTTTACGAATTTTTGGGTTATGAACCATCTCTGGGGAATGGATTAAATTCGTAAGCTGAGGTACTTCTGTACGTTGGTATATATATTATGGTCCCCATCGTTACTATAAGTACTACCAAAAGAGGAGGATGGACTGGAGTTTTCAGGATCAACTCACCATCAACAAAGAATCTGATATAATAATAAAATGTACAGAATATAAATTTATAATACTGTATACTGTATAACAATGCCATAAGGCATAATCAAGGTAATTAATGCAAATTGTGAAATGCTAATTCCTCCCATGTCTAACTTCATTTAAGTTTCATCTCACCTTTTCTCTATATAATGTTCTGTGAATCTTTGCTAAATTTAATAAAGTCCTATTGGCAAAATATCTTTAATAAAGTCTTCTTTCAAGTTGGAATTTCTCTGTATTGTCAAATGACAAAGATAATTCAATCCAATTGAAGTGCATGGTTGCTACACACACGATAACTTTATTAATGTGAAATGAAGTGATTTCAGTGAAAACTAATAGCATGAAATATTCAAATTGTTCTGATCATTCAAGTTGTGGGGTACACAAAAAATGTCAATGAATCAATTGCAGTTACGGCATTGTAAAGGTGGCAGAAAAGTGGGTTACAGTGACGACCAAAAATATTGTTTTCAATTAAAAAAATAAATTATGAAATACGAGGTATTACAAGTAATACCAGTTTACTTATACAGTAGCTGGAAATTTTTTAACACTTATTGTGGTTTTTCTGAAATTGAGAGATGGAGATGGTTATACAATTCTGTTACATAAATTAGCATTAGGGTTGGCAAAAGCTACACAAAGGAGTGAGGTACTTTAATAATAAATATTTGTTTAAATCATGAGAAGTGTGTGTAAATATCAGTCATAGGAGCCAAGACTAGACATACACTGATGAATGAGTTATGGGAATAAGAGATGGCAAGAGTGTCAACAAATGAACAAGGTGTTTGATGAGGACATTATTGCATCTTAAAAACAATAAATCCTCAGTCATAATCACAAAGACAAATTTGCTAATTGTATCTGGCACTTTCTATAACTGATTAATATTGATAATAAAACTACAAAGCTTGAAATTCTGCATTATTTATACAGTGCATAAATTATTTATGGACCATCCACAATATGAAAACAACACTATTAATTGCAATATGCCTTAGGTGTTTTTTACTACATCTTGATTTTTATCATTAATCAGTTTTAACTGAAGTTACAAATTTTGGCCAACTGATAAAAAATTTTGATTATATTGACAAGAGTATTTTGAACACATAAGATGACAAAGGTAATAAAACCATTATGATGTAACTGGACTGTACTATTCACTTGAAAAATATTCATTTAACAGCCATTTAAAATTGCTTGTAGAATATTACAGAAAAATAAAAGTTCTAGTGATATAATAATGAAATAAAATTTAAAAAAGGCCCTGCTTCTTATAATACTGGATGATGGTCTTATTTTTAGATTCTAATGCAGCCCTGTTCAAGAAAAGGTCTGCAGCACCTGTCTATGAGAATGATAGCTTCTCTCATAGTGTAATAATGTGAGCATTCTGTGACAGTATAAAGTGGCACATGTAACAGCATCCCATGGTCAAAACACAGGAAAGACTTTCATTATTGCTAAACCCAGTATGCTATGTGCATTCATGTGCCTTCTCACATATGAATCCATTAAATGAAATATTTTCCCATGATGCTAAATACTTCCACAATCTACACAATTTTCCTACTCGTGAAACACCAGTCTGAAATACCTGTAGGATGCCTAAGAATCTATGAAAAATACAGTTTACAAGGAAAAGAAAGCTTCACAGAGTGGCAGTACCTCTACGTAGTAATTACATAATGACTAACAAAAAAGCTACACCCTCCCCCCACTGATGTGAAATTATTCCCTTACTGATGAGACAATCATGATGCAAATGATGAATATGTTAAGGAGCACTGGATAAAAAAAAAATGAACACTTAACAACAAATAAGAGGATGATGGGAAGTATGATGATGTCCCTCGTATGATTGTGATCCTTTAAGTAGATACACACAGTTCACCAGGAAGGCCAATCTCATGCTTCCAATAATAATGTTCAATCTTTTTATGGGCTTCCCTCCTACTCTATCCTCAACACAACACACTATTTTCTAAATATACATTGCAATGCAGTCACATACAACACAGCAGTATAAACTTACTTCACACACAGCTATTTATAAATAAATATTAATAAAAATCATTAATTTTTTCATAATTACAATGACAAATTAAATAGTATTAAGATTTACATAAGACACTTCACATGTCAGACAGGATATTAAATAGAAGAGTGAAGAAAAAAGAAGTGAGTCTTGTTACTGATCTTCACCATATGAATGTGATGAGGAAGCGTTTGTGACCAGTTTCCTAACAATGACGACTAAACCGCACACCACGAGCCGAGATGTCATTTCTGTCTGTCCTGGACCATTATCAAATCGATTGTGTTGATCCAAGACGAACCGAAATGTCGTCTACTCCTCATCTTCTGGTGTGTGGTTTAGTCATCATATCTTCAGCCACGTTATTGTGACTCATCGTTCCTGACAATACTTGACAGTATACACAGTGCCATAATGACCAATGATGCTGTATTTGTATTCAGCTATACATCTTAAAAGTTGACTGTATAAACAGGAAAATAAACAGTTATCACAAGGATCAAAAAGTTCTCAAAATAAAACAGTAAGTCTGTATATCAGTCACAAGCAGATGGGTGGTGCACAAAGCCCAGCAAGAATGCCTGAAGAAGATTGTCTAAGCATGTCTTGCTGCACCTCACAGTAATCTATACAAATAATTGTTCATGGTGAAGTTTTAGAATCTTAAAAGGTTACTGTGACACATTCTAAATCAATCTCACAGCAGCACAATTAAGTGCACACACAAGGAAACACATACATGAAAATTCTTTTTACCAACACCAAAGTTGACAGTGTCAACAAGAGAAGCTGGCAACAGATCCACCATAGGGGTTTACTGCACATGTTGTCACTGGCAACACATTAAATTAGTCCCACATCTCATCTCACGACGTACTCACTTAGTAAGACATCATCACAGTGTCAGTGTAACAGTTAATCCTAGAGATTTTGTTCTACTGTCTGGCACAAAAATAGAGCTGTGAACACTTAAAAAGTCCCATGATTAATTCAACCTCATGTATTTAATGAAAAAAAAACAAAAAAACAAAAACAGGAGGATTGAAGTGTATTTTGGGATACAAGCAATGAGAGAACTGCTATAACTGGATTTTTCCCAACTAATACGTATATCCAAATTTTCACTCTAAAACTATTTCACTGTTAATGAAGCCTTTGGATATCAGGAAGGCTAACATCTTTTCAAATCTTCTGTCCTTTCTTGAACACAAATGTGCATGACTGTAGTCAGTAGCAACATTATAATACAAAGCGTAATGTACACAGCATATCCAAGAAAATATAGTTTATCTATTGTATTCCTGACTGGATGACGTTTTCACCAATGCACTTCACTTTAGGTTTCCATAAAAGATTCACTGTTAAAAAAAATCTTGAGAATCTATATCCCAAACTGCAGTGTCATATAAAACCAGAAAGAATGACTGGTTTTTCATCTGAACTAGTACATTTTGTAAAAAAAAAAAAAAGAAAAACAAATATCTAATGTGCAGTTTAATGATAAGAACTATGCTTCTTGTTCTTTTTATTAATAAGATTATTTTTCAGGCTATTCACAGTTGCTTGCTTTCACTTCCCTTGTATTTCATAATACACTTGCCTTGTATTTCATAAAATATATGGAGTTTTGCACATACCAGTGTTGCACCCATTAATAATGATACTTATTTTTCAGCTATAACTACTTTGGTTAACAGTTTCTTCTCTCCTTGTGGTGACTTAATGTCATGTTTATTAGGAGGAAGTAAATAGTTTACCAGATATCTGGTCATTGTGAGAATCATAGTTGGTCAGAGTAGCAACTTACAGTGCACAAGGGAACTTCACCTTATCTTCTCAAACTTAATTACCATTGCCATTTCTAGCCATCATAGAGGGTTTATTGTTACCTTCGGTGCCATAAATTCTTCCAGCTTTTTTCGCCATATTACTGAGCAGTTCGAGGGACATCTTATGAGCTGACCGTAAGGAAATGGACCATTCCTTAAGGCCAATTTCATCCTGAAATTAACAGTTATAGCAGTTAATACATTATATAAAGTACATTATATTAAAAAATGTGGATCAGGAATTAATATATAATTTTGTAAAATACATTACTGTAGTAATATGTAGCCAGTTGTACAAGTTCATGGTTAGTTTTTATAATTAATATAAGAATTGGTTAATGCAATTAACAAACATTTTCTAAATTCAGTGCATATAATACACTGAATTATACAGTGACATATAATGTAGAGCCTTATCTGCACATAAAACCCATTAGTTAACATAAAACTAGTATTGAAAATCAACATTTTGTATAATTTTAATTCCCTTGAGTCTATTTGGTGTGAGCATTTATAAGACATATAGTACAGTATATGCTTCATTCACTTCAGTGTATGAAAGTCAAAATGTGATGACCAAACCGCACAACAAAAAATTAACTTACAAAAAAGCCTCCAGATCTTTAGCCCCTGCTATTGCTTTGCTCTTCAAGAAGTCACTTGAACTCCAAACCTTTCCAGATATTCTAAAAAAAGCGAGAGTAACGCCTGTCCACAAATGTGGTGATCTCACAGATGTTAACAACTACAGACCTATATCTATCCTGCCAAACTTGTCAAAAAATTTTGAAAAACTAATCTATAAGCAGCTTTACTCATATCTAGCCAAACTCAATATACTTAGCCCTTGCCAATATGGCTTCAGACCCAAAAAAAGCACTAACGATGCACTTATTAGTATGCTTAACTCGATTCATACAGCTCTTGATAAAAATGAGTTCCCTGTTGGGTTATTTGTGGACCTGCGTAAAGCTTTTGATACTGTCAACCACCAAAATCTTCTTCTTAAATTACATCATTATGGAGTCAGAGGACACTCCCTACAATACCTCAAATCCTACCTTACTGACAGGCTCCAATATGTTTCTGTGAATAATACAATTTCTCCCACCCTACCCATCAACATTGGTGTTCCCCAGGGCAGCATACTTGGCCCTCTCCTCTTTCTCATCTACATTAATGACCTTCCAAATGCCTCCCAACACCTCAAACCAATTCTATTTGCTGATAACACAACCTTCATTTACTCCAGTCCTGATCCCCTTGCTCTAAATGCCACAGTAAATACTGAGCTAAATAAAGTCCATCTGTGGCTAACTGCCAACAAACTCACCCTTAACATTGACAAAACTTTCTATATTCTGTTTGGCAATAAATCCTCTAGTCAAATAAATCTCAAAATAAACAATACCCAAATTTGTAACAAATTAGATGGCAAATTCCTTGGCATTCTCATTGACCACAAGCTGAATTTCCAGGGACACATTCTAAACATATGAAAAAAAGTTTCAAAAACTGTGGGCATTCTTTCTAAGATCAGATATTATGTACCACGCCCTGCCCTGGTGACTCTCTATTACTCCCTTATCTATCCATATCTCAACTATGGTATTTGTGCTTGGGGCTCTACTACCCAAAATCACTTACGTCCTCTAATTACTCAACACAAAGCTGCTATTAGGACAATATCCAATTCTGGCCCCAGACATCACTCGGTACCCCTACTCAAATCTCTGAATATGTTAGACATTAAGTCACTGCACATTCTCTCATGTGTATTATACATATATAAAACGCTAAACTATAATGCCAATCCTGATCTCAAAAGCTTCATAGAAGGTTGTAACAGAACCCATGAGCACCACACCAGAAATAAATACAGTTTTGATATTCCTAGAGTACGACTTAATCAAACTAGAAATGCTCTACAAATCAAGGGGCCCAGAATGTGGAATGACCTTCCCAACCATGTTAAAGACTGTACCTCTCTCAACCAGTTTAAGTTAAAAACGAAGCTATACCTAATAAATTCCCTGTAACCTACCTTACCCTTCTATTGTCAACCAATGTCTGTTTTTCTTTAAAGAGCGCTGTTTGTCGACATAATTGTATTTGTGCTGCTTTTTCATCTATGTTTTCATTCTACTCATTATGCTCAATTAGTATTAAGCTTGTCATTTAAGTTTATCATGCCCGAAACACTTTGCGTAATAGTGGCTTTAGGCATTGTATGTACTAGCTCTACCTATAAGTCAACCAATCTTTGTAAAAATTTATTGTATGTATGTACCTTACCTAAATAAACATTTTATTTTATTTTTATAACAGAAGATGGAGGAATGATGATGTTTTGGTCCATCCTGGACCATTATCAAGTCTGGTGTCAGGAAGGAAGAAACGGGCCAATAAATAAGGAAAGAGTGAGGTGAGGAGAAGGTAATTTCTAGAAGAAGGTAAGAGCAAGGTGAAAAGTAAAAATAGCATGAAAGGTACAAATGGGATGAGAGTAAGAATGGAATGCAGGAAGAATGAGATGAGATAAGAATAAGAGGAAGGTTAGAAAAAGTAAAGGGGGTAGGCTTGAGTCAGGTCACATTTGTTAAGAATGATGATGATGTTTTAGATTCAGCTACTTGGAACAAAATGTTCCAAGTAGCACGGGCTATAGTGAGCCCATAGTGGACTTACCTGGCACAGGAGTGGGACTGTAACTATTTTTTGTTAAGAAGGTTAGAGCCTATAAGCATGTACAGTACTGTAAAGGGAAAGTGTCAACAGCAACAAAGCCAGGACTAAGGTTCATGTTGGGTATGTTGTGTATCAGAGTTGATTCAACAAGATGGCATCTGTGAAGAGTAGAGGCAGGAATGATTATTTTAGAAGACCAATCTATACGATGATTAGAGTCCCTAACATGACAGAAGAAAGCATCGTTTGTGTATGCAGATTTAACATACCTTTTGTATTCCTTAAGTCTGTCATTTGTGTTCCTTAAGTCTGTTTCCAACACTAAATTTTCAACACTAGTACCACTGCTCTGCCTTCCCTTCATATCTGAACTAAAAAATCTCACTAATACCCTTTGTCCTCTTAATGTAAAGTTCGCCTTCTGACAAACTAACACTTCGTAGTAATCTGGTTCACGTGTCTCCTCCTGCTTCTAATGCTGCTGGTGTCTACTATATTTCCTGGTCATCTTGTCCTCTCCAATACTTTGATGAAGCTGGCCATACACTAAATGACAGACTTAAGGAACACAAAATTAGTGTTAAATCTGCATACACAAACGATGCTTACTTCTGTCGTGTTAGCGACTCATGACCTACAGATTGGTCTTCTAAAATAATCTTTCCTGCCTCTACTCTTCACAGATGCCATCTTGTTGAATCGGCTCTGATACACAATATACCCAACATGAACCTTTGTCCTGGCTTTATTGCTGTTGATTCTTTCCCTTTACAGTACTGTACATGCTTAAATGCTCTAACCTTCTTAACAAAAAACAGTTACAGCCCCACTCCTGTGCCAGGTAAGTTCACTATGGGCTCACTATAGCCCGTGCTACTTGAAACATTTTGTTCCAAGTAGCTGAATCTAAAACATCATCATCATTCTTAACAAATGTGACTTGACTTAAGCCTACCCCCCTTTTCTTTTTCTTACCTCATTCCATTCTTCCTGCATTCCTTTCTTACTTTCATCCCATTCGTACCCACAATAGCTACTAAATATATTTTTTTGGAGATTATTTCACCATCGGATCAGGTTAACAAGTTCCCTGCACAAATATAATTACAATAATATTTATAAAACTGACAAATCAAAATACCTACAGGGTTCGTTAAAACAATCTTGCTGTCTTTAGTTTTAAGAACAATGCAGTTCTCTCCTTTTATCTGTACAAAATCTGATGATACATCATCTAGTTGGTCCATAAATATGAGCTCCGGCTTCCCAGAGCTAGATTCTGAGTGAAGTTCAACACGATTTGGATATAACTTTGCATATCGCGTTTGCCATGCTGATGTGAATGGTCCACCTAACTTCTTGATGTAACCATGAATTATACAGTCTGATTCTGTAAAAGATAAAATTCTAAATAACTTATGGAAATAAACTGATAATTTTCTAAAAGGTCAAATATTTTTTGAAAGCAAAAGAGTGAAGACTTATCTCTGTCAATCTAACCAAACAGATTTTTAAATAAAAAATATAGTTCAAATTAAAAAGAGGGGATGATTCTTTTACCTCTACATTGACAGAAAAAACTAAAGTTCACATGCAAAATAAAAATCAAACATAGTTTGCATGCTTCTGAAAATCGGATACTCTAATTCCAGCTCTTCTCTGCTTACACAATATTAATCATTAATTTATCATTATCTCACTTGTGCATGGGGTTCAACCAAACAATTCCCCTTAACCAAGCATCACTAGCAAACAGGTTTCAATACCATAAATACTATTCTTCAGAAATCATATACCCCCAGTAGCCCAGATGTTCTCAGGATATTTTTATATTTAAAAGTATTTTGAATCAGAAATCCAATGATGTTTCAACATGGTATCCGAGTAATCATCAAGTGTAAAAGCACAAAATTAATGGTATTAGGTTCTTGTCTTGAAGCTCTCAAATACCATTTTCTTCAAGATACTGTACCTTTATAATCAACAAAAGATTTTTCCATATTCATAGTTAAACTCAACTCAGTTTTTGTTCTTTTGTTTATTTTGATTGGGCAAATAAATGAATATAATACTTTATAATTTGCATATTAAACAGACAGACATACAACTTACCTTTTTCATCTGTATCAAACTTAAATTTGTGCTTTGCACGTCGTTTGTTCTCAACCTTATCTGCTTCCTGGTTTACAGTATCGAATACAGTCTCTGCCACTTCAGTCTGCCACCGTTCACTGATTACTAGTGGGAAGTTTTTGTACAGTTCCTGGTCTGCTTCAGTTAACTGTTATAAGAGGGATGCAAATAATGCTTTAAATTTTTGTTTAAATATTCAGAGTACAGTATCTATGGACACATTATTCCTTGCTTGGCATCATGAAACAGATGTACCACATCCTACAGCTGAAAATTAAACCAAGCATAATAAAATGCTCCTGTCTTGGGGTTCCTCGGTGGCTGCTCAGAACTTATAGACTGGTACCCCAGGGCCAATACCATATTATCAGATGTCTATGACTATATGAGATTACTGGGGCAGGGACCACACACTTGCCCCCCACCCACAGGTGAGGGAGCTTAACCCTTAAAGTGCGCAACACAGCTATAACTGGGGTGAGTAACTGTCGCACAACTGCGCACCACAGCTGTAGCTGTGTTGGAGTACCACACAAGATTTAAAAGTTCCACAGCTACACAGGGTTCACATAAGCTTCCTCAGAGCTCTTCTAAACAGATGCCATTTAAAAAAAAAAAAGTTGTAGGCAACATTCCTGGGTGTGAGACCTTCGGTACTGAGTGAGCCACCAAGGTTGGTGCACGCAGCATGAACTAACAGCACTGCTGTTCAACTTGTGTGCACAGCATCGCCTAAAATGCCAAAAAATATATGAAACTAGTATTATTTAGCGATGATAGTATTAAAGAAGACCCAAGACTGTGATAAAAAATGACCAGGATTCTGATAATAGCAGGATTGTTGTGATAATTAGCGCTGTGCTGTATGGTGGGAGGAGTAATGCTGAGGGAGGGAGGTAGCATCGTCTGCTGACTTTGTGGCCACCTGCTATTGTCTGCACTCGCCATACCAGCTTAGTGGTTCTCTATGGTGAACACAATGTAGATACAGTACTTGCATATAATGTGTGTATTAGTGTAAATAACAGCAAAAGGAGTATGTTGGTAGGAGCCATTATGGCGAGGGAGGTGGTGTCATCTGCACAACTTGTCGTGCAGTGTATGGTGGCCACTATGCTGTTTGGGCACCATACCAGCTTAGTTGTACAGTTATGGTGAATAAAACATGTAGATACTATATAATGTCTGTATATAGTGAATAAAAGTAAAAACAGTATGGTTGGGAGAAGAATGTTAGTGCATCTGGCCTTGAATGAGTGAGGGAGGCAGCTGTCGGCTGACCCTGTGGCAACCTTTCTTATTGTCTGAACTTACCACACCAGCTTAGTTGTACAGTTATGGGTGAACAAAACATGTAGATACTTATATATAATGTCTTTATATAGTGAATAAAAGCAAAAACGGTATAGTGGTAGGAGGAATGTTGGTGAGTGAGGTGTTGTTGAGGAAGGGAAGGAGGTGGCATCAGCTGGCTGGCTGGTGTGTAGTGGCCACTCCTCGTTGTTTTGACTCACTTTACCAACTAAGTGGTTCGTTATGGTGAACAAAACATGCAGATACTTATGTATAACCTGCATATATAGTGTAATAACAGCAAACCTATTTGTTATTGTTTTATGAATATAATAACTAAATCACTAATATGCACACCATAATTTTGAGTATAGAGATGATTCACACATTTTATTATATAAATATATCACACTACACACTATTGAATAATATTACTGCAAAAAACTAAGACAAAATCAGACATTAAAATAATTTGGTAATAATATCTTTGTGGCCACTCCCGCCTGACAGCTCAGGTGGAGCTGATTGCCTCTGACAATTGCTTCATCAACGCCTCAATTTTATAAGACAATTTTTTTTCCTTGCACTTGGGCGTGTTGCAGGCCATAATCACGAGCATCCAAGGGGTTAAGGTGTTATCACACAAAATTCTGCCAAAAAGACTAAGAATGTAACAAAAACTCAAAGAAATGCTTGGTATGAATGAATAACAAACAATCGCCATTCACACTTCCGTGGAAATAAGCATTCCATTCGCCTGGACTGTATCGTGGGGTCTACGGTTCGAGACCCTTACAATCCAGGTGAATATAATACCAAACAGCTCAAAACTATCCCAAACCACCAAAATACCACCCTGCTGCTTTCCATCCCACCACCACATGGCAGTGTTAGTCAAATAGGGGGTCCGGTACCACCCAGCCCTTCACTCTTGAGCCGGAGCAAACCCCAAGAAACCACGGGTAAACAGGGAAAATATCAGGAAGAGGAGAACCAGTGACGGTCTCTCAAAGGAGCATTGTACAATACTTTTAAATAAAGATTAATAATTTCACGAGAAAAAGTAGTAAAATAATAGTTTTGATACTTTAGTTGTACTTTGAGGGCTAACCACATAATTATTCAAATTCACAAAATCCAATACTGCACAGACTGTAGGCAGCTTATACAGTAATGATACAGTATAGGAGTTGCATGTATGAGCACAGGAAAAATTCTTAGGAAGAACTAAAACCATTAGAAATTATTTTATTTTGTTTTAACAGGTTTGTAATGGGTGAATCCTTACTTTAATACCCTTTGTATCCTCTTCATCAAACGAACCAATGTCAAATGCATCGGCTGCATTAACTTCACCTCGAGGTGGGATGAGAGGAGGTTGGTACTTCTGCAGGTACACCTGTTGCCAGTCAAGACCGCCAAAAAATGGATGTTCCTTAACTTCATCAGCCCTGGATAAAGGAACATATTAAAGACAATGCCCAAAATGTAAGGGAAAGATCTATTATACATACTTACACGGTACAGTAGTTGTAAATTTCAGAGTACAGTAGTGTACTGTGTATTACATTTTATTCCTAGTCATCAATACTCTAAATAAGAATTAACTGAATTCCAAATAAAATCCTAGAAAAATTTACTTCTTAGCCATACCTATTCTTTTTTTTCATACTGTCCTCTATAGAAAATGTCCACAGTGCATGAAATAATGGTGTCATATTTTCTAAATATATCTGTGTTCTTTTTGGGCATGGGGTGGTTTATGACAGGTTCCTAATTTCCTCCTTGGCTCATCTCAGCTCTTACTTTATCTTACTTATATTTTCCCTTATTTTCTGGGGGGTAGCCCCTTCGGCTTCCCAGAGCTATCCAGGCTGAATGGATATGTATAACTTTCGGCATCAAAGTGCATGGAGTTCTTGCCTACCGGGGACCACGAGCCAGAACCTGACTCCCTCAGAGAGGCATGAGGAGCAATGGCCAATAGAAACCCCCGTGTGCTTGGGAGCATTCTATGTCTGCCATCGACCGGAACAGGCACCCAGAAAGGTAGGTGCCCCAAAACAAACCCCTATTCTGGTGAAAATATTACTACCGAAAGCCGAAAGAGTGGACAAAACTCCCCAAACAAAATTAGCTAACTAGCATGACGTCATCACGTTGCCGCACCGCCGTCTGCGCAACCCCCCCCCCCCCTCCTCCCCGGGAGGGGGAAGGGGGAGCAGGTGGAAACTGAGTACCCAAATGAGCCACAGGGACATGAGAAAGAACCCAGCCAGTGTCAGAGCAGGTAACAGATGGAAAGCCTGAGCCAGCGATGTGGCGGAGGCAGACACCAGACACAGCACCAAATGTAAAGATGAAAGAGCCCAATAGGCTCAGGAACCGGGACACCAGGTGAACGACAGCTGAGAGGCGGGACCCAAGATCCAGAGTGCAACCCCCACAAGCACAACTAGGGGAGGACCACTAGGAGAGGACAAAAACTGGCAGGGAGAAGAGAGTACAAGGAATACTGAGAAAAGATTCAGGTGCCTAAAGATTAACCAAAAGGCACTGAATACCAAGGCTGCATCCCACAGTGTAACTAAGAACAAGATACACCAACCAAGGAAGGCCACAGCAAGACTACACAAAGTGGCCAAGCAAAACACAACACCCACACCCCACCAAAATCGAGAACCAGCCCCTAGCCGACAGTGTCGCCAGACTGCACAATCTCACCTGCAGAGCGGAAACAAGACCGTGTCACAACACAGTGGAGCCGAGCAATATACCAGGGAGCAACGCTAGCGAAGTATGTCCAGAGAAACGAGCCCAGCAGAAGACGAGGTGCAGTATAGAGGCGGAGGTGACGCTACACCAAGCCACCACACACCCGTAGCAAAAAAAAAGAATCGAGGTGAATTTCCCACATAAAATCTAGAACACCCCGGCATCTGGGGGCAATGACTGGAGAGAGAAGATGGGCGAGAAGGCGCAGAAAACCCCCCGAGACCGGACGCAGAACACCAACACGTGTTCACCTCCCTAAAACAAAACGATCACCCCGGCCCCTGCGCCCGAGGTACAAACCGCACCACCCGCCCTCCGGGTGGCGCGGTTCGTACACCAGTCGGATGTACACATATCGTACACAAACCAGCAAGGAGTATGTAACGAATATGAGGCACGTCAAGACTAAGGGAATACAAAATAAGGCGAGACTAGAATCGAAAGAAAACAAGTAGTATGGAAGAGGACCAACGAGTCCGAGAAAGGACTAGAGGGAAGCCTCACCAGAAGTCAACAGACGTTCCCACAATATCGGAAGCATCGACGAGTGTCATGAACCCCTGAGAAACTTGAGAAGCAAGCACAAAGGCATGGAGGCACCTACGGGCCCAAAGATTCCCCTGAACAAGGGACATGCAGGGAACCCAAGACGAAGGGAACAGTAACGCGACATAACTGCGAAAAAGTGAGGAAATGGGGTGAAAGCACCCCCAGGAATGACGGAACTAATGTACCCGAAAGGATATGGAACCGAACCCGGGAGGGGTAGACCCAAAAAAACATGAATGCAGAGGGGGAAGGAATAACCCCCCCTCTCAGGAACTGCCAGCCCCGCTCTGAGTGTACAAAAAACCTGAAGCAGGGCCAAACGGGGCTATGGCCCCCAGGCAACCCCTCCCCAACCTCGAGAACCTCCATGGCAGGACCGGGGCCCAGCCGTCCCCCCCCCCCCAAAGCCTTGGTCTCAAGAAAAAGCCGGGGCAGCCGTAAAAACACTAAGGAAGGGAGCCCACTGGTCAGACCTTTACAGCATGGCTAGAGGAACAGGCTCGAAGGCCTCCGCCGCCACCTTGGAAGAGGAAAACCCCCGAGGCCACCCGAGTCTCAACCCAACTAGACGCTGCCCCAACTCCGAAACCAGCCGACAGTTCGGAGAAGGAAACAAGGGAAAGGAAGTATGCACAACTGAGGGGGGAAGAACTAGGACGAGCAGACGGAACCAGAGCCGAAGCGACTCCCACCTCCAAAGGACTCCAACAACCAAAATGGGGCAGTCTTGGAGCATCCTGGGCTGCAATGAACCAAGTGCGTAGCAGCAACCTAAGCCGAGCATGTAACGTGGCTGCTGCCTGCACCCACATAACAGTATTTAGAGGCCTGGATGAACTGGAGTATGAACAGACAACAAACGTTGCCCGACTCTGGGTCAAGGAATCCCTGACCCAACAGGCAGCATGGCGGAGGCAGAACCGGTGAGTGTCACCCTAAGACAAGGGGACAGAGCAACCTTCAACCTCGCAAGATGCGAGGGGGGAACTCTGGTCACATCCATCGGACCACGTAGCCCCCGCGGGGTTTCCCAGGGCCCTTAGCCTTGGTGTCACGTGTAGCGAGTAGATTATCCCAATAATATACTCGCTCCAAATGCATTGTTAATATTCCTGTCAACCTTTGGAGATGAATGAGGTGAGGCGTTGCCCGGGCAACACGGTGAGGTGTTGCCCGAGCATATAAGCAGCAGAATAGCAAACATTAACTAGTCTACTTTCAAGTGTGGTCTAGAGCAGACACTTGCGAGATACTGTACCGACTCTCAGTGCGCTCAACTCACACCAAAGTATCACCTGTGTACTTCTGTATATTCGACCAAATATATATATAGTATCTTAGTGTCTGTGTTTATTGTCACCATACTTTACGTAACAATAGAACCATTACACACGCTAAGGGAAGCCCAGGCAGGGTACTGCGAACTGGCGCCCAAGTCTACCAAACAAACCTCTAAAAGCTGAACCCCTGGGACGTGTCCACTCACGAGGGCCTAGTGGGAGACGCCGCCAAAACAAAAGAACACACAGAACCTGACCAGCAAAGGGAGAACCTTCCACCAGGCAGAAAAACAAAACAAAACAAAACAAAACAAAAACCCCGCAGGAGGACAACGTACCCGGGCGGAACAGAGCTGGCCGCTATAATGTTAGAAGACTAGCTGTGCAGTACCCTGCGCCCCTACCAGTGACGACAACTACCCTCTATCCAGGGACACACCAAGGCAAGAACACTCCAGCTGACCCCAAGGGCAACCAAGTACCGAGCAGTAAAAGGCACCATGGAGGTAGACCCCAAGGTGACTTGTGGAAGGTGGCCCCCAAGCCCCAAGGGCAGTACTTACTGGGCACCTAGGAAAGGTAGCCCTAGGTTCATGCAGCCCGAGTACCTCAGAATATTACTCCTGGCTCTCACACACCCTGGAGAGATGGCCCATGCCACCAGACACAGGACTGAGACAAAGAATTCTGAAGCCAGAGGCACGTGACTACACCAGACACCCATCAGCCAAGAACTGCCAGTTGGATCGCCTGCGTAGAGAGTCTGGGGCTCCCTCTTCCCCCTCCCGAGGAAGGGGGTGTGTAGATGGCAACGCGGCGACATGATGACGTCATGCTAATTAGCTAATTTATTTGGGGAGTTCTGTCCACTCGTTCGGCTTTCAGTAGCAATATTTTTACTAGAATAGGGGTTTGTTTTGGGGCGCCTACCTTTCTGGGTGCCTGACCCGGTCGATGGCAGACATAGACCAGACATCGATGGTCGATGGCAGACATATCCTCCCAACCACACGGGAGTTTCTATATGCCATTGCTCCTCGTGCCTCTCTGAGGGGGCTAGGTTCTGGCAAGAACTTCATTCACTTTGACTGATGCCAGAAAGTTATACATATCCATTCAGCCTGGATAGCTCCGGCGAGCCTCCGGGACTCACCCAGAAAATGGCATTTCATTACATTCAACGCTGGTTTTTTGCAGTTACTCCGACACTTGTCACATATAGTAGGCTACTTGATGGAAGGATTACCTCTAGAGCATCTCCCAGAGTTGTCTGTCTTAAAGGTACTAGCAAGTGCTTGGAGGGAGTGTTAAATGGTATGACGTGTTCTTTGGTTGTTACTTTCAGTGATGGACTGAAATACTGTAGGTTCTTTACTGAGCTCCCTGCCCCTATACTACAGGACAAGACAATTTGCAAGGTTACTCATCTGGGTGGGGCTCAAAGTTACTTGGGGCCTTGTGGAGCAGTGCATATCACTGAGTTCACTGGTGAACCCAGTGATATGGCTCAGGGAAGCACCCAAGGAAGCCCTACTCACCAAGCACTGGATGCACAAACTTATACTGGTGAACCCAGTGATATGGCTCAGGGAAGCACCCAAGGAAGCCCTACTCACCAAGCACTGGATGCACAAACTTATAAATCCAATAAGAATACAGTACTTCAAAAATGTAAATCTAAGATTTAACAAAATATGTACTTAAATTATCCTAAACTTAAAATTCTTTTCTAAAATTGTTCTTACCCTCTGCCTTTGCAGCCCAATCTTTTGTCAACGTCTCTATGAAGTAGGCCTTCTAAAAGACTCCGAAGCTCTTGTGTAAATGTATCAGGTAGTTCAACATTCTGCAAAGAACGCATTACCGACATAAAATTGAGTTGCAATTTCCATCACATTAATAAATCATTCCTATATAATAACATAAGAGAGATACACTAAAACAAAAACTAAATAAACAAAATGCTACTTTCGAAGTAAAATGCTAATGAATTTTTCTACAGTACAATAAATACTAATGCACAAATATACAACATATTTAAGTTATCAAAATGTTGCATAAAATTTTGTCACCTTTACAGTATTTGGTTGTATGTTATTAAAGGTTCTGCCAGAGGTCAGTAATTTAGATATCGGTGACCCAAATTTCCGCGTAATCTGAATAAATTTACATTTGAAATTTTCCTTTTCTTGACCTTTTAACCTGAATAGCAATTCAGCTTAAAAGCTTATGTGGAACAAGAAACTAATAAATTCGAATTCAAGTGCTTAACTAATAGAAATTATTTCTAAATTTGAATTTGTATAAATTAAAATTTGTCTTCTTAGAAGACAAATTTAAAGATTTGTCATCTAAGTTCCTAGTAAATAATTATTACACGTTAAATATTTTCAATCCATAATGGCTTTGTTCATTACATTCAACGCTGGTTTTTTGCAGTTACTCCGACACTTGTCACATATAGTAGGCTACTTGATGGAAGGATTACCTCTAGAGCATCTCCCAGAGTTGTCTGTCTTAAAGGTACTAGCAAGTGCTTGGAGGGAGTGTTAAATGGTATGACGTGTTCTTTGGTTGTTACCTTCAGTGATAAATAAATTTGGTTAGTCATTTTCATTTACATCAATATTAATCACCACACAGCAATTAATCCATGTAGTTATCTCTTTTATCATTAACTATTTTGATTTTGTGCTATAAATCCCATATAACACACTTTAAACATGCTATAGGTGTGACAAAATGTGAGTTTACCCAGGGTGCCAGCAACCTTAGGGCAAGACTTGATGTGTGATTTATGGGTTAGAGCTCATGCTTGTGGTCCATCTTCCATTGCCCATTGACTGTGTACCCTTCACTCTGTGATTGTTGGTTTGTTAGGTATAAATTTTGACAAGCACACCCAAGATAACACAGCCAGCTTTCTCAATATCCAGAGATTCTGCAGTCTCTACATTCCCTACATGGTATAACTCAAGACTCTACCTAAGTGCATGGAAAACTAGTACAGTGGAATCTTGACTTACGAATCTTTAGTATTCATAAAAATACAGTACTTACGAATTTTTCGAGTTAGGACCCAATTTCGTTGGAAAATTCGACTCGACTTACGACCTTTACCTCGACTTGCGACTTTGTTGATTTTAGTATGGATGGACCGAGTGCGTGGTTCCTGGTGGCACGGGTGACCACGCTTCAGTTTACCAATCAAAGAACAATGTATAAACATCAGAGATCCGCGGTTGTTCAATATCCTCCCAGCAACCATAAGAAATATTGCGGGAACAACCGTGGACATCTTCAAGAGAAAAATTTATTGCTTTTTAAAAGAAATGCAGGACCAACCGGATTGTGGTGGGTATGTGGGCCTGCGGGCCGCTCCAAGCAACAGCCTGGTGTTGCTTGATGGAGTGGGTGGGTGGGTGGCAGGATGAGTAAGTGGATGGCAGGATAGGTAGTCAGAGTGGGTGGATGGGTGGCAGGACGGGTAATCAGAGTGGGTGGCAGGACGGGTAGTTAGAGTGGGTGGGTGGGTGGGTAGCAGGACAGTGGTCAAAGTGGGTGGGTGGGTAGCAGTGGGCGGTGGTGTGAGTGGACCAGTTTTCAGCTATGATTAATACAGGAGCTGGTCACCCCCGGTCCCTCCCCCACTACCTCCATCCACCCATCCCACACCCCTCCCCACTATCTCCATCTCCTCATCCCCCACACTGGACCCCCCCAGCCATATGGACAGTATTAATACTGTGGGCTTCCTTGCTCCTACCAGCTTATAGAACGGGAGACAGACTCCCCGAGTGTCTGACATTAAACTTATTGCTTGCTAACTGACTGGTTGCAACTGTGAAAGCCTGACTGACTGGCCTCACCGTCTCCCATATGCCAACAAGAGTTCTTAGTAAAGGTAAAGTACAGTTAAATGTTCATTTATTTTATTTATGGTTTATATTTATACCTGACTGTTTTGTGTATGAAAAATATGAGAAGTATTCTGTATAAAATGTATTTTTAAGTTAATATTTTTGGGTGTGTGGAACGGATCAATTCAATTACATTATTTCTTATGGGAAAATTTGTTTTGAGTTACAAATTTTTGAGTTACGACCCGTCTCTGGGAACAAATTAAATTCGTAAATGGAGGTACTGTACCCCTGTACTGGTATAGAGTAAAATTTACAAGAATACTGTACAACCAATATTGACACCCTGACCAGCACCCCTATTTAAATAACAAAACAAAGGAGAGCCCCCCTACTGCAAGGCATAGTGGCACTTCTGCTACTTACACCTGACATAAAAGGCACAGCATCACGCTGTTCCAATGCCATCATCTGTGTAGAAAATGTTTCCAGTGGTCATAATTTTTTTTTTACTGGCTACTCCAGCTACACCTACTGTACACAACTCAAATCATGATACTAAATATACAAAAAAGTAGGACAAATGGTAGAAAATTTCTAGATGTGTAGGTAAGAACAAAGGTGAAAGTACTGTATGGGGCTGCATGCTGGGAAATGCATCCTCTCCACCCGCCGCCTTGCCATTATGTTAACAAATAAAACTGCCGCCATGAGTTTGGTTATTTACTTGGTAAATTGTGAACACCATCTTGCCTTTTGAACGTGTCTTGCATTATAAGTTTGGGTAATTGATCCATGAGATAACTTAGCTTATGTTTATATTTTATAAAGACACCAATGAACATTTTTGTATTTTGAGATTCAAAAATTCTTGACCATGTAGAATGTAATTTTATTGCCAAATCAAGTATGATTTAAATTATTTTACACCATACAACTACAGTAGAACCTCGGTTAACGAATGACCCTCTTTACAAATTTTTGGTATACAAGGTCAATTTCCTCGTAAAATTTGACTCGGTATTCAAGGTTTGTCTTGGATTTTGAGTTTGTTGATACATGTATGGGTTGACGAGCACGTGGGTTCTGCTGGGCACGGGGCGAGGCACCCTCAGTTTACCATGTATCCTAGTGACGACCGCACTTGAATTCTTTGTGAAGAATTTCGTTGTTTTCTGCTTTATTTTTTTGGTTTGTGAACATAAAAGTTCTTATTATATATCACACCATGGGGTACCAAGAAATTCAGTGGTAAAGTTCAACCTAAGAAAATAGTTGTGAGTAGAGGTAGTAGAAAGTGTCCCTGCCATACTGTATTAAGAAAATGTGTGTAGTATGGGAAGAACTGCAAAGTTTTGCTGAAAAAACTCATCCAGATAAAGCTGTAGCAGGCTGTTGCATTAACCTTTTTAATGACAATGTGATGTCTCACTACAGACAAGTGTTAAAACGTAGAGAAAAACAAGTGTATAGAAAGATTCTTAGCAAGACATGCAAGCAGTGAGCCACAACCAGGTCCTAGTGGTATGCCTGCAAAACGTGAGAGAGAGAGAACGAGCGAGCGAACCAACCAACCAGCCCACCCACCCACCCCAGAAATGTCATCACTGCCTGATGTTATAATGGAAGGAGACTCCTTCCAAACAACACCTCTTTCCCCCCCCCCCCCCCTTCCTCACCATCTTCCATATGCTAACAAGAGTCCTCAATAAAGTTAAGGTCCCTGTATAGTAAAAAATATGAGTAGTATTCTGTATAAAATGTATTTGTAAGTTAATATTTTTTTGTGTGTGTGTGGAATGGATTAATTCAATTTACATTATTTCTTATGGGAAAATTTGTTTCGGTTTACAAATTTTTGGTGTACGATCCGTCTCTTGGAATGAATTAAATTCGTAAACCAAGGGTCCACTGTATATCATGTAAAACACAGCCACATATATTCAAGATCTGGAAACAATTCTTGCGTGACCAAAGGCACAGCAGGAATTGAAAAATAGGAGTGGAATGGATATGCTAAGAGACAATGCTATTAACATTAGGGCTCAAGAATTTTGAATGTCCTCCCTCTAAATGTAAGGGGTATAACTAACAGACTGCTCATGGTGTTCATAAGGGACTTGATAAACTCTACTAAAGGATACTTCATCAACCTGGCTGTAATTCACACATTAGACTGTAAGCAGTGGCGTTGAACAGTTTAGTTGACCAGACCAACCAGAAGGACTGGTCAAAGGACTGGACTGGAGGAGGACCAACCAGAAGGACTGGTCAGAGGACTGGACTGGAGGAGGACCAACCAGAAGGACTGGTCGGAGGACTGGACTGGAGGAGGACCAACCAGAAGGACTGGTCAGAGGACTGGACTGGAGGAGGACCAACCAGAAGGACTGGTCAGAGGACTGGACTGGAGGAGGACCAACCAGAAGGACTGGTCGGAGGACTGGACTGGAGGAGGACCAACCAGAAGGACTGGTCGGAGGACTGGACTGGAGGAGGACCAACCAGAAGGACTGGTCAGAGGACTGGACTGGAGGAGGACCAACCAGAAGGACTGGTCGGAGGACTGGACTGGAGGAGGACCAACCAGAAGGACTGGTCAGAGGACTGGACTGGAGGAGGACCAACCAGAAGGACTGGTCGGAGGACTGGACTGGAGGAGGACCAACCAGAAGGACTGGTCAGAGGACTGGACTGGAGGAGGACCGACCAGAAGGACTGGTCAGAGGACTGGGCTGGAGGAGGACCGACCAGAAGGACTGGACTGGGCTGTGAGGACAGTGAACTTCAGAACCACCTCAAGGTAATCTTTCCCTATTTTGCACAGTTCCCTACATAAATTTATTACTATACCTCTTCTTAGTCTGCCATTCGTCTGTTAAACACTTGTACGTTGCTTTTGACTCCACATTAATGTTTATTCTTTTTGGTTTCCGATGTTATGTTTTCATGAGGAGATGGAGAGGAGGAAAATTATTGTATCACCGAGATATAAAGCAGACCTGACTGACTAGATCACAGTGGATGGCAGCGATACACTTAAAAGTAACACAGGATATGCTATTGTACCTACAAGTCTTAACCCTCCCCAATTTCAACATCTCATCAACAAGATGTATACATTTCAACATCATATCATTGAACAGCTTATCAGTCACTTGAAGCAACATTTATCATCTAAAATTTTCCTCACCATTGAAAATTCACATATTCAGACCTTTCTAATTCCAGTATTACCTTCCTAGACATTTAACAACATGAATACTAAGCCATAACAGTATTTTTTTTTACCAGTATTTTGCCCCTCTTGTATATATTCTGCCCCTCTTGTTGCCACACAAGAGGGACAACATTATTCGGCTTGAAGGACTAATTAATTAATTAAAAAAGGCTGTATTAACTAGTAAGAAGGAATTTTATAAATTTGTATTACCAACATCTTGCACATTATTTCCTAAAATTTTTCTTACACAAAAATTACTTGACAAACACTGCTATACAATACATAGTGGAATACACAAAATTTTCATAATCACAACTTACCATCGTTAAAGTCATGCGGTCAATTTCGTGTTTATCTCGAGTTTTATGTTGCCTGAATGGGGAGTGACCCTTGAGCAACTTATATAACATACAGCCAAAGGAAAACCAATCTGCCGAACTATCATAGGCCGTTCCCTTACTTAGCACTTCAGGAGCCATATATCCATGAGTTCCTCTGAAAAAGTAAAAAGTTAAATAAGATATATTTGTGAATAGTAGGCTATATATATTATCAAACTCAAAGGAACAGAAGGCAATGGAAAACTACAATAAAGGAGTTGTGGTAATTATTCAACAATTTATTTATTATAAGATAATTGAACTTGTGACTATTCAAACAATGCTGCTCACAAAATGTAGCAGCATAACAAATAGTTGTATGATACACAAGTTTTAACAACTGTTACAGTACATATTGTGACTCTTAAAATCAGACATTTGCAGAGGAAGCCCAGGCACATGAGCATGGGTATGTTTATCTTGTTGGGGAGACATACACATATTTATAAAAGGAACATAGGTATGTACATAAGCTTTTATCAAATATACAGAATATTTTTCCTTGGTGTGTTTTTAAAACAGTGTACATTATGACAAGTTTACAGGTATTGCTTGGAAAAAACTTCATGGATGGTAATTACATGTGTACTGTAGCAAGAAAGCAGCTACAATCTCTTGAACTATAATAAACCTTTCTAGTGCAATCTATGTATTCGATAAGCAATATAGATAAAAGTTTCTCCTACCTTTTTTTTTTGGCATTACAAAGTAATTATCACAATGAAGTAATTTTTGCAAACTATTTTAAAAAATATTTGTCTATGGTGTCTCTTACAGTCAGAGTAAGCTGGGTTTTATGTAATTTGTTCATTACAGGGAAATGCACAAGGTACTGTACTTTGCTTTTATTATATGAGTCACGATATTGTTGTTAGAATAAAAATTTTATGAAACATTACACACCTGAATAAAAGTGGCTATTCAGACTAATGTGTTTGTTACTGATCATTTATGGTATACATTTGCTGTATGGTGCAATATATTGGCTTTAAGTCCATCTTATATTATGCATTTAACAAACTGAGGCAACACATCGAAATTCTATGATTCATTATACTGTATAAATATTTGATTGTTAAAGTAGTGTATATTTAATAATGTGTCTCCTCAAAATGAGAGAGACTGATATCACCTGGTTCACATCTACTTCAAATAACAACTGATAGTTACATACATACTTCATACTAATAAATGAGGGTAATGACTAACAGTATATTTCTAATGTCAATATATTCCATACCTTTTTCACAGTGAAAATTTGAAGAAATGCATTTATGATATGAATGAGTGATTTTTTATCTCTATAAATACATTTGCCAAATTTTTGTTTTGAGTTTTGGACAATTGTTTCTGTCATAAACTGTTTCAATTGAGCAAACCTCTCTGAATATTTCTGAAGAATAATTTAAAGTAAAGTGAAAAACTAGCATTGCATGTAATGAAATGCCTCTTTCTAGTAGAGCTCCAGTGGCTCCCTGAAGCTGTCTCACTTAGACGGCTTTCCCTACTAGGTCACATCAGTACTAACACGTTGTACTGAACGGGGTGAGAATAGCTTGAGCTACCTCATCCCTTTGTGTGTATTTTACCTCAATAAACTTATTTCAATTTCAATTTCAATCAGCCATAGGAATCCTGTTGGTCTACTGGAAACCAGAGCCAGAACATGTCCCCTTCCTCACAGAGATACAAGGAGCAGGGGATTGTTATAATTACCCCTCACTGGGAAAGCATCCAGAAAGTCAGCAAAGCAATTCAAACAATTTCAAGGTTCACCTAAAATAAAAGTGCTAAAATAGTCAACTGACTCTGCAGATGAGTCACTGAAATCTAAATGGTTCACTCTAAATTTAGCTTGAACCCCCCTATTGCACAAAGTTGATAACCAGTGGCAGGCATACCAAGAGCTCCCACTTCTAGGCAAATTATGAGTCAGTCTGGAGTTGGCAGAGCATGAACTGACGTAGTAGTAAGGCAGGAGGGATGGGGGTATAGACTCTGGGAATCACTCAGGCTCTATCACAAAGAGGTGTTACATTACATTCATTGTTGGATATCTGGGGGAGCCCCTAGTAGCTCTCTCAAGTTAACTAGCAACAGAGAAGACAGAAAATGTGGGACTAACTAGGGAGGAGGAAGTGGCAACCACAAAACCATAGATGAGGCGTCGGGCTAAGAACCTGATACAGGGCAACACAAGCCCAGCTGGGTCTAGGAGCATCAACATCAAGCTGCCAAACTGAGTCAGCATGACATGTTAGTGAATACAGCAACCAAAGCTATGAACCAGTGAACATTGTGGGCCTGAGGGTAGACCGTAGGCTGTAAATGACGCTGGAATGACACAGCGTACAACCAGGGACAACCGTGCCTTTGAACAGGGAACCCAAAAAACTGGATTGCCAGTGCATCCTGAGAAACAGAGTGGATGGCCTGCAGGTAGTAATGAATTGCCACAACCGGACACAACAAATGATATATTCCCAGCCAGACAAAGTATCAACCACTGGAAGTCAATCAGCCCAGTCATTGCAAGAAAAGCAGAAGACCAGAGATTAAGAAACTGCCCACCAAGATCAAAAGAACAGAATCCATGACCCTGGAGGAGAGAAAGAAGCTCCACACCCTGACAACTGGAGGTGAGAGTTAACAGAAATGGTGTTGTAAGAAAATATCCTGGGCTAAATGGGCAATCTAAACCAGTGAGTAAAAACACACCAACAGCCTACCGAGGGACTAAGATGGCTCTGGAGATGCAAGAGTTGGCCAAACAAGAGGGAAAAGCAAGCATGAGGCAACTAGTGAAATACTGTAACTCTGTGAAGCATCAATGCCGAATACCAACAAGAGTGGCTTCACCAAAGCCAAGCAATAAGAGGTAACAGTACCAGGCTGGAGATGCCAAGCAACAAACAATTGTGACAAAACCACTGGAACCAATACAAAAAGACATGATGGAGAGATGAAGAGACAAAAGGAATGCCAGGAAACTACATTCTGTTGGGACGCTGTGGGACACCAACACGACAGCCATCCATGTACCATACAAACATGCATCAGAAACCCAGAATCACAGAATGGCAGAGAAGGTCAAACCAGCAAGGCACATCACTGGGCTGACCTGCCAAAAGAAGCAGAGTGGCAGAAAAACACCTGGGTATAGACAACAGACCAGTAGAGCTGGAAACCAAGGCTAAGCTGGCCACCAAGGAGTCAGAAGGATCATTTTGCCTTAGCATGGCCCCAACCTAGACAATACCTAGAGCAAAAACTGAACTGGTGGGAAGTAACATAAACCCCATCCCTGACCAGTGTTTGGGTAAAAAAAGAAAAAGCGATAGCCACGCAATTCGGGAATGGATCCATGCAAGTGGGCAGCTGCCAGTTCCATGTAGATGCAAAGAGGGGCAATCGAACGTCTTGCAAAGCAATGAAAGGACATACTGTAATGTTGATGGTCCAATCTGTGGAAAGGGGATGGAAGTGAACTATCTGCAAGAACTGAACCGTACTGAAAACCATACCCCAAGAAGCTAGAAACTGAGCTACACAAAGAGTCCAACACCCTAAGGGAAAAGGACAGAGGTGACATCCTCCCCCTCCATGTTCAGTGCACTAAATGAACCACTGGGGAGCATGATGAAGGAAACTAGGGAATGGAGCCTAGAGGAAGAAGACCCCCACCTCTTCCCCCAAAATGGCTTGCCACACTGAAGCAACTCACACCAGGCAGTGAGCCCGAAGGAGCAAACCCGACCAATAAATGTAAGAACCATGGCAAGCGTTGGGCACAAAACCCCAAACCAGAACCAAGGCATCTGTGAACAACCTAAGAAATGGGAGGGACTATGTTTCCTTAGTCTCCCTACATTTTAAGAGAGACTAAGGAAACCCGTACCAGCAGAGCCCCCCCACCCCCACAGTAGGAAGCAGAGTCCAGGAAGACTGAAGGGCACCCAGGGGGTGCCACTTGGGCAACTCTTCTCCTGGCTCTCCACAAGAATGCCCTGGGACAGAGCTGAAGTCTGCACCTGACACAAGACAAGAGAGATGTCACCACACTAAAAGGATCCAAGCCAAAATCACTCACTGCCCGCTCCAACACCACAAAACAGAAGGGAATCGATCTCTACTAGAAGCATCTCCTCAACTGTCTTCAGTGTCCATGTCGAATGGGTGATCCCCAAAGCAGGCCCAGCTACACCCCACACGAACAGCAACCCAGACTCTGAAACCCTCAGATGTCCCAGAACCCAGAGCAAATGGGGAAAGGGAAGGGGTAAGAATATAAGGGGTCCAGGAAAAATGCAACAGAGGGCAGATAAGGGAGGGAATTATCATGAGAAAGTGCCAAGCCATTAGAACTATATAGCACAGCATGGGATAAACAAAGTGGTGAAAGAACATCTGCTGCTCTAAGACCAAAACCCTGAAAACAATAAGGTATTACTCTGAAACAACCACTCAGATACCAAGTCACAAAACCAAACAGGCAAATGAACCCAAAGATGGCTGCTGCCCTTCACTATGTGATGAAGTGCGAGGAGATGCATGAATTCAGAGACAATTCTATAACAAATGTTCAAGAGGTGTGTAAATATTTCATTCAAAATAATCTGCTGCCAGAAGTCTTGGGCAAATATCCCCAGTTTGCTAACTGTAGGTAGTAACTAAGTGATTGTAACCTATCCACCGCTGCCCACTGGATGGGGGCGGTGTGCAGGACAAACATATCAATTGTGACACTAGCTCTCCACATATGTCAGTTGCTTAATTTAGAGACTGTACTTGTGGTTGGTCTCAAGCCCACTGATGATGTGACAATGTCTATTGAATTTTGTAACTAGCTCATCAAGATTGTAACTTGCTTAGCTAAATGAATTGTGGGGTTCAGTCCCTGAGCCCATTATGTGCCTCTGTAACCCTTTCCACTACCGCCCACAAGATTGGTATGAGGTGCATAATAAATGAACTAAACTGAACTGTGGAGCCTTGTCACTACTAAAAGATGGAGGCTAAAGGTAAGCACACACACAACTAACCCAAGCTTCACTAGCCTTGGGGCAAAGGCTAATGCTCCAACCAACTGGAGGCATCTGGAGACAACACAATTGGTAGTATTTACCAATGGTGATGAACATCCCTCAAACTCATTGGTAGCAAGTGTGTGCTCAACCAGTCAACCATCATGAGCCGCACCTCATCCCATAGGAGTTCCAAGGCCTGAAGGATGGAAACAAAACAGAACAGCCAAGCACTAGGGATGCTTGGAGAAGAACAGACACCAAATACAAATACTCTGGACAGGATATACAGTATAGGATATACTCGGCTACAAAGAGTGTCTGTGACATGCTGTATGAAGAAGAATGCATCATCCTCATACACCCCTCAACAAAAAGCTGGAATACAGTAGAGAAGTTTATGCCAGTACAGGGCAATGCTAAATAAATGTTTAGAGAAAGTCACCCTAAACTCGTGCAGTTCATACTGCAGATTATACCAAGTACACGCAAGAGATGATGCTTGTAAACATGCGCTCGTGAGTAAATACTAAAGGTTAGGAATGATATACAAGCAAATGGCCCTCACAGAATGAAGTCCAAAGATGTCCTTCACTTATCTTTGTACAGTAGTGGGACTCACCATGGCCTGGGGACTCGGGAAGGAATGACTGCTCTGACACTAGTGACAGGACTGATGCTGGCCTGGAAGTGGGAACTCCCTGGACATCACCTGTTGCAGGTTTCACACACTGGGAGGGAAGGGGAGGTGTTCAAGCTAAGTTTAGGGTGAATCATTTGGTCCGAGTGAAACACTTGCAGCGTCAGCTGGCTGTTTTGGCGATTCATTTTAGGTGAGCTTTGGAGTTGTTTGTATTGCTCTGCTGACTTTCTGGGTGCTTTCTTTGCAAGGGTGACCATAACAATCTTCTGCTCCCTGTGGCTCTAAGAGGGGACCACGATCTTTGGTTTGGTCTCCAGCAGGCCAATAGGATTTTTATGGCTGAAGTGACTTAGAAGGGAAAGCCATCTCAACAAGATAGTTTCAGGGAGCCTTCAGGAGCTCCCGCAGAAACTAAATACTATAATAATTATTATTATTATTATTATTATTTTTATGTATGGTTATACAAGATTCTTACTATAGCGATACTGAGTTGAAATAGGTATCTGCTTAAATTCCTGACTAAATACCTATAACTTTATAAGAAAGTAAATATTTTTCTTAGAGTGCTATGAATGAGTATAATATGTATTGCAATATTTGTATAATATATGTTGCTGTACTGCAAAATCAAAATAGCAGGATCTTTGTAGCCAATACATATTTCTAAATGAGCAATTGTATTCCATTTTACCAAAGCTGCACCAAGACAACAAGGGGCTTACCCCAGTCAGCTGTAGATGAAGACTGAAGTACAAGGCTAGATATGTAAAAATAGTTTACTCATTATTTTGGTTCTACGTAATTTAAAATTAGCAAAATTGAAATCAAAATTTTTTCACAGGCAATATTTATTTATTTGAACTAAGACCTAATATTTTCTGAAGAGACTAGGACACATTTTATGCATTCTGATACCCAATTGTCTATGACATCTTACTGCGAAGGAAATTTATATCTTGAAGTGAAATAAAGAATTTTTCTGGGTGTCATAAGTAGGAACATATAGACTACTTACACCGATGCATGTGGCTTCTTTTTGGAAAAGTCGCATGCTAATCCTAAGTCGGATATCCTGACGTGACCGTGTTCATCCAGAAGTATATTAGCTGGCTTTAGATCTCGATACACGATGTATCGTCGGTGCATATGTTCTAACCCTGTAATAGAGCATCTGTTTGAGAACTAGTTATTACTGATCCATGTACTGTGTGTTATATAAATATAATAATAACTTAAACTTAAATCTATTATTATCAACAGATACAATATACAGTATATATATATGGTTATGCAATTATTTAAATATCTGGTGCTTCACCATCTGGACTACTGTATCCAAAAATGGTGCCATCACCTTCAAAAGTACATAACTGTTTTGGAAAAATGTTAAATGCATAGTGGCAAAAATTATCCCAGAGCAAAGTCAACTCCCATACCAGGAAAGGTTGAGGTCTTCATGACTAACAACACAACAAACCAGACATGGCAGAGTGGGTCTCACTCACTTGGCATCATTGAAAGCTTGTGCCTGCAGCCCTCTTGTAACATGCTTAGTCATGATGTTGATTCTCTTTTTAGTAATGTCCTGCTTGATGATATTCTCTCTTTTCTTAGTCAGAAGGCGACCGGGGGTCTTCTTCATTTCCCGTTTCAAACTGACATTTTCCCGAACTCCTCAGACTGTGTTGACTAGTTACTTCTCTTTCAGACTATTTTCAAAGGAAAATAGTCTCCCAAACGTTTGGTGTGTGTGTATGGGTGCCCCTCTCTGCTATTCTTGCCAATCACTATATGGAGTACTTTGAAACTTTATTTCTTCCTGCTACTGACACTCGTCTCTCGATTTTTGAATGTATGATGCCATTTTTGCTCTATGGCCTCATGACCAGTCTTTTCCTTTCGCTCCTCTCTTAACAATTTGGCTGCTCCTATTGATTTCAAAACTGAATGAGAATCTAATTCCCTGTTTCCTTTCCTAGACGTTCATGTTCACAGCTCTGTGTGTAGTTTATCTTTCTCTGTTTACCACAAGCCTATGCATCGTGGCATGTACATACACTTCTTTTCCACCTTTTACCTCCGAGCCCTATGCATCAGTGACCCTCAGTTTCTCAATTGGAAAATTGTTATTACAGTGTTTACAAGTCATTCTCTTGCCTTGGTTACCCATTATATTTTATCAACTGTGCCTATTCTCAAGCTAAAGGAAATTCCTTTAGTCCCAAACCTGATTCCAACAATAGTAACACGGTGTTGTGCCTTTCCTTAATATCTGAACTCAAAATCTCACTGATACTGTTTGTCCTCTTGATGTAAAACTTGCTTTCCAACAAACTAACACACTTCGTAGTAATATGGTTCACACTGCTGTTCCTACTTCCAATTCTGCTGGTGTCTACTCTATTTCCTGTTTGTCTTCTCTCCAATACTTTGGTGAAACTGGCTGTACACTGAATGACTTTAGGAACACAAAAGAAGTGTTAAGTCTGCAGCCACAAACAATGCTCTCTTCTGTCATGTTAGGGACTAATCACACTATAGATTGGTCTTCTTCTAAAATAATCTTTCCTGCCTCTACCCTTCACAGATGCCAAATGCTATAACCTTCTTAACAAATGGGATCTGACTTAGCTTTGCTTTCTTTAGGGCCAATTCCTTTTTGGCTCTATCATTACCAGATTTCTTCTCTTCATCATTAGGCATCTTGCAGTTTTCTTTTTACCTTTTTTTTTTTTTAACTTTTTCTTATTTATACCCTTTTTCCTTCCCTTACTTCTAACATTTCCTTTGCTTTCCAGTTTCTCTTTCTTCTTACCTTTTATCTCTTATTCTTACCTTTCATCTTATACTTATTTTCTTTCTCTTTCATTTATCTCGCCTTTTATCTCACTCTCTTCCCTCATATTGTTTGTCTCTTCCACACACTTTCCATTACACGACTGGATAGACTTTAAAATACAGAACAATTTGGAAGATATTAATCCAGACCTACCCCTTCATTTAAAGGTCCAACATAACACATACATCAGGGCAAATGGGGGGGGGGGACCTATGACAAGCTGCCGGCTTCCTGTCCTCATCGAGGCCACTAGTATTGTGGCTCTCGGGTAAAATCGGGTAAAATACAAGGGGCAACAGCTTCAAGCTTAACAAGCCCCAATGTAGGACATAAAACAAGAAATGCTTTTTCACCTATAAGGTAATAAACCCATGGATTCACCTACCCACTGAAGTTGTAAATACCAAGGCAGAACACCAGTTCAAAATTCAATTAGGAAAAAATCCTTGAAAATAATGGTGGCCCTCGGGTAAATTGTGCAGTTTGCTTTCAAAACTTAAAACAAAAAGAAAATTGGATACAGTTTACAGTGTCCACATTAAAACTCATTTCATTTAAATACAGTATTTTAAAATTTCAAGTAAACAATGAAATGCTCAAAGAGGTTCAGAAACAATTTTTGAGTGCAGCGCAAGTTGAGTGCAGGGACGATGGGTGGTGAGGGTGGGGGCAGACATGGGTGGAGACAGCTGACATGGGTTTTGAGTAGACTTTAATGTGAATGACACTTTGCCTGTATGACCTTTATCAAATCTATCTTCATATGAGCTTTACGTATCCAAACTTTTAATTAAATACAGTTCTGCAAGCTTGATTTTTCTAAAATTTTAATTTTGAAATATATGCAAAATGTTACGAGGTGGTGTAACAGAAAAGTGTGAGAACTATTGTAAAATGTTAGTATTTTATTTTGTACCTTATTTAATATAGAGTATTTATAGACTTACAGGCAAAATTACTTCCCTTTAAATATGCAACACAATGAAATCTTGCAGCTTGTTAAATGCAAACAAATTACAGCATGATTATTATTGTTCTATAACAAAATTTTGATTACCATCTATAAATAAAGTAACAAGAATAATGTTTAGAAAATACATAATTTGCTCTTGCAAAACACTGCAACTGTTTAATAAAAACTGAAGCAACCACTGAACTATGGCACCTATCTGAAACACATTAGTTTTGTAACCTTAAATTTAATTATTTCTGATTAAGTTTTCATGTGCCAAAATACATTGTAATCAACTTGTGAATGAGACTAATTAATGAAGATGGTCTGTGCATATATTGCCATGAAGCTAGTAAATATAAAGGAAATATCTTATATGCTGCTTTCTTTTACTGGCATTCACACTATAGCACCAGTTAGCAGAGGGTGTAATTATATACATTTTTATAATCCCTTTCCCTGATCACTTTTTATTTTATTGTGCTTATTCTCTTACGTCCTATTTACATAGACATGCTCAGGTGATTTATGATTTTTACATATACTGTATTCTTATTTCTCAGTGCAAGCAGGTGACCTCTGTTTTAACCAAGTGGCAGGTAAAAATCTTTAACAAATACTTTAAACGTTTCTTTAAGCATCTCAAACATTTAGATTAAATCAAGATACATGTAGAAAATTCTTGGCGAAGCAAATCTCAAGAAAGCAGAGTTTTCAGAGGAAACATTGCATCAAAGAAATAAAAGGAAGAACATATCACAGTATTTGGATTGTTAAAATACAAAACTACATCTATAAATGTAGTAAAATGTCTTATTGTTGCAAAATATATATTTTTTCATTACCTAATATAACTTCCGCTGCATAAAATCTCATTTCTTGTTCATTGAAGACACCATGTTGGGATAAGTGATAGTGCAGATCCCCACCATTCATGAGGTCCAAGATGAAGCACAGCTTGTCCGGCGTGTGGAACGCATACGTCATACACACAATGAAAGGACAATCAACCTGAAATAAATATCACTTTTTGTTTCATCACACAGAATATCATTTTCTATATTAAGAACAATAAAATACTGTAGTAGCAAATGGGGATTAATATTTTGATCAAGGATAAAGCCATCTTTGAAAGTATTTAAATTCTGCTTTCTGGTGGATCCGTTTGGAGACCTTGTGCTTTCTCGGGGAGCTACGGAGTTGAGACAACCTCGAAATGTATAATACCTGGTGCTATTTTGATGCTACACTAGGAGGAAAGGAAAATAATAGTTATGTACTACATAAAGGAAGGTGCTGCTTTGTACCGTCAGCCAACAATAATTATATGCATATGACCTCATTTGTAGGCTTGTGGACAACTGTTCTCACTACAGTGTAGCAGAGGGACAGCTGCCTCTCACTGCAGCATAGCAGACAGTTTCCTCTCATCACAGTATAGCAAAGAAACAGCTGCCTCTCACCAGTGTAGTGGGGACCCAGTTATAAGGTGGAAGTAGTTTAACACAATATGCTTACCCCGGTACTGACTAGTGAAAGCATAATTCGCTCATTGAGTGCTAAGGTTTCACCCTGTTTCATCTTTATTCGTTTTTTGTCGAGACATTTCATGGCATACATCTTGCCGGTGTCTGCTTTGCGACACCCATAAACTTCTCCAAATCCTCCACGTCCGATAATCCTGTGTACACTGAAGTCATTCATAGTCAGCTGTAAGAGAAGGCTGCATTCAAATTATTCTGTACTACAAATATCCTCTAGTACAACACTACTTCAACAAGGTTTAATTAGATACGTTTCATCTTGATAAAAGTTAATCTGAAGCTTAACTGGAAACCTGTTATGCCATAACTCTTGTAAATAAAATAAAATAGATATTTGAATCGAAGTATTTACTTCAAGGTATAGAAGTTAAATAGATATTGAAGTGAAGGCTTTTAATCCCCAGGGGTAAGGACTTGTACCCAACCATGTAGCCACCAAAATGTTTCCAAGTCATTTAGCACCAGCTCTACCTAGCATTACCCAAACATAAAGCGCTCTAAGAAATTACTTTTACACAAAGTTAAAAGACTATTGAAGTTACAAGCTTAAAAAACAACTCTTAGGTAAATGTTAAATGTTGTTTGAAGTGAGAAAATTGAAACTTCATATATTTGATGTTTTTAATTGAACTACAGTATAGGGGCAAAAATAATAATAATTAAATAAAAATGAAATATACAGAACATTGGATGACAAAAGAGCACGTGCTTTACAGCTGGGAGCTGGAAGCACTGAGAAAATACACGCTGAAAGCGCATGGAAAATACATGTCCCCATGTACAAAATGCAGGGACTGGCTTTACAAAAATGTAGGAACACTTGTATATATAAACTAAAATAAACATCCTGGAAGCACTGGGAAAATACAGGCTGGTAGCAAATACTTAACAAAATAGCAAGAAGCCATACCAATAAATGCACCACACAGCACTTCATTAATAATTACATCAAAGTTGAAATACAGATATTACTTTAAACAGTTCTCAAAACAGACATCAGGAGGTAATAACCAATCTAACTATAATGCAGGCTTTATTAATCTTCTGGACGAGGCAGCTCTCAACTGTGCAAAATTTTAGGAATAGGCCTAGATATTACAGTATTCTCACTTGCTTACTGAGTAATTAAAGATTACCAAGTAAGGCACGACGTGTATTCATGTATATACACATTGAAATCACAAAAACGTGACATATCCCTTGAGAAAATCTTTGGAGCAGGGCGGTGAAACTGAACCAGCGTTCTAGGTCACCCTAGACGCACGCTTTACCCATGGACCACGGTGTGCTAAAAGTAACATAACCTGAAGTCCGGCCGAACTCCTGAGGCACCGAGCAGGTACCTCATTTATTGTTTACATGTTCCTTGCACAGACTCTGGTGTTGTTAATGGACCTCTCCACATGCATAACATCATGTTTCCTGTATGTTCTTATTCACTCTAGGATTTTAAATGTCTTTCCATCACTAGTCCATTGTATGTACTCGCTACTCATCTGCCTTCACCTTACCATACATGTTACTCATGTCTTTACTCTAATGCTCTACAAAATTACTCTATGCTCGTTTAATCATATTCATCACACAACTTTTCAAGTAATATTTTCTGCCGAAGTTGCGTTACTGTGAAGTTTCTCCGAACCTAATACCTTTTCTGGCTGTAAACATTGTAACGATGACCGTGTCAGTAAGTGAAACACGGGTTGAGGCGCCCGCAGAGTTGTCAAACCCTGCCAAACTGATTATTGTGAACTGATCTAAATTATTGAACCGATATAAAACTGATCCTTTCATATAGTCTAGGGTAGCTGCTCAATTGCAGATGTACCTAAATGTGTTAATAAAAAAAAAATTATTGTGGTGTTGATATTCTCAAAATGCATCCGGAGTCTGCCAGTGCAGACCGCTTATCACATGCCTCTGTATGACTAACCATCCTGTGTGATGGGGATTTTTGGAACGCATACGTCATACACACAATGAAAGGACAATCAACCTGAAATAAATATCACTTTTTGTTTCATCACACAGAATATCATTTTCTATATTAAGAACAATAAAATACTGTAGTAGCAAATGGGGATTAATATTTTGATCAAGGATAAAGCCATCTTTGAAAGTATTTAAATTCTGCTTTCTGGTGGATCCGTTTGGAGACCTTGTGCTTTCTCGGGGAGCTACGGAGTTGAGACAACCTCGAAATGTATAATACCTGGTGCTATTTTGATGCTACACTAGGAGGAAAGGAAAATAATAGTTATGTACTACATAAAGGAAGGTGCTGCTTTGTACCATCAGCCAACAATAATTATATGCATATGACCTCATTTGTAGGCTTGTGGACAACTGTTCTCACTACAGTGTAGCAGAGGGACAGCTGCCTCTCACTGCAGCATAGCAGACAGTTTCCTCTCATCACAGTATAGCAAAGAAACAGCTGCCTCTCACCAGTGTAGTGGGGACCCAGTTATAAGGTGGAAGTAGTTTAACACAATATGCTTACCCCGGTACTGACTAGTGAAAGCATAATTCGCTCATTGAGTGCTAAGGTTTCACCCTGTTTCATCTTTATTCGTTTTTTGTCGAGACATTTCATGGCATACATCTTGCCGGTGTCTGCTTTGCGACACCCATAAACTTCTCCAAATCCTCCACGTCCGATAATCCTGTGTACACTGAAGTCATTCATAGTCAGCTGTAAGAGAAGGCTGCATTCAAATTATTCTGTATTACAAATATCCTCTAGTACAACACTACTTCAACAAGGTTTAATTAGATACGTTTCATCTTGATAAAAGTTAATCTGAAGCTTAACTGGAAACCTGTTATGCCATAACTCTTGTAAATAAAATAAAATAGATATTTGAATCGAAGTATTTACTTCAAGGTATAGAAGTTAAATAGATATTGAAGTGAAGGCTTTTAATCCTCAGGGGTAAGGACTTGTACCCAACCATGTAGCCACCAAAATGTTTCCAAGTCACTTAGCATCAGCTCTACCTAGCATTACCCAAACATAAAGCGCTCTAAGAAATTACTTTTACACAAAGTTAAAAGACTATTGAAGTTACAAGCTTAAAAAACAACTCTTAGGTAAATGTTAAATGTTGTTTGAAGTGAGAAAATTGAAACTTCATATATTTGATGTTTTTAATTGAACTACAGTATAGGGGCAAAAATAATAATAATTAAATAAAACTGAAATATACAGAACATTGGATGACAAAAGAGCACGTGCTTTACAGCTGGGAGCTGGAAGCACTGAGAAAATGCACGCTGAAAGCGCACGGAAAATACATGTCCCCATGTACAAAATGCAGGGACTGGCTTTACAAAAATGTAGGAACTCTTGTATGTATAAACTAAAATAAACATCCTGGAAGCACTGGGAAAATACAGGCTGGTAGCAAATACTTAACAAAATAGGAAGAAGCCATACCAATAAATACACCACACAGCACTTCATTAATAATTATATCAAGTTGAAATACAGATATTACTTTAAACAGTTCTCAAAACAGACATCAGGAGGTAATAACCAATCTAACTATAATGCAGGTTTTATTAATCTTCTGGACGAGGCAGCTCTCAACTGTGCAAAATTTTAGGAATAGGCCTAGATATTACAGTATTCTCACTTGCTTACTGAGTAATTAAACATTACCAGGTAAGGCACGACGTGTATTCATGTATATACACATTGAAATCACAAAAACGTGACATATCCCTTGAGAAAATCTTTGGAGCAGGGCGGTGAAATTGAACCAGCGTTCTAGGTCACCCTAGACGCACGCTTTACCCATGGACCACGGTGTGCTAAAAGTAACATAACCTGAAGTCCGCCCGAACTCCTGAGGCACCGAGCAGGTACTCCATTCATTGTTTACATGTTCCTTGCACAGACTCTGGTGTTGTTAATGGACCTCTCCACATGCATAACATCATGTTTCCTGTATGTTCTTATTCACTCTAGGAGTTTAGATGTCTTTCCATCACTAGTCCATTGTATGTACTCGCTACTCATCTGCCTTCACCTTACCATACATGTTACTCATGTCTTTGCTCTAATGTTCTACAAAATTACTCTATGCTCGTTTAATTATATTCATCACACAACTTTTCAAGTAATATTTTCTGCCGAAGTTGCGTTACTGTGAAGTTTCTCCGAACCTAATACCTTTTCTGGCTGTAAACATTGTAACGATGACCGTGTCAGTAAGTGAAACACGGGTTGAAGCGCCCGCAGAGTTGTCAAACCCTGCCAAACTGATTATTGTGAACTGATCAAAATTATTGAACTGATATAAAACTGATCCTTTCATATAGTCTAGGGTAGCTGCTCAATTGCAGATGTACCTAAATGTGTTAATAAAAAAAAATATTGTGGTGTTGATATTCTCAAAATGCATCCGGAGTCTGCCAGTGCAGACCGCTTATCACATGCCTCTGTATGACTAACCATCCTGTGTGATGGGGATTTTTTAGCATCACCTAGTTAGCTTCTTTTTGACACACTGTACTCCACTTCATATAGTCTAGGGTAGCTGCACTAATGCAGATGTACCTAATATGTTAATAAAAAAAAAAAAAAAAAAAGCCATTAGGTGTAGTCACCTAGCCATCACGCGGCCACGAGTATGTCCGTTATTGGACGCGAAAAATAACACGAGACAGAGAGAAAGAGAACGGATGGAACGCTGGGATCGAAGGTCTTCTTTGGAACTCGATACGGCGTTGCGCTCTATTGGAATATCCTAATACCCTGGCAAGTTACTGTACCGTGCAAGACGAGAGCCCTGGGGAAAGTTGAGCGCAGGGGAGATGGGTGGTCGGGGTGAGGGCTGACATGGGTGGAGACAGCAGACATGGGTGGAGACAGCAGACATGGGAGGAGACAGCAGACATGGGTGGCATCTGGGGGTGATGAGAGGAGCTGGTAGCGTCGGGTCTTTATGGTGATGAAGGACCAGTTATGGCCAGTGAGGACCAAGTTTATGTCTTTAGTTTACCTGTGGTCGGTTCCAGGTATTACATGTATATATTAGCTTTCTCTCGTATCCTTTCCAGACAGCAAATACTATGTACATGTTTATACGTTACGAATATCTTTTCTGTGTTTCATTTATTTCAAAATCTCTGCCATGGGAGAAGAGCAGAACTGAAGGTGAGGAAGCACAAGGTGACATCCTTGGTTGTGAAGACTCTCACGACCCAGCCACAACATTCAAGACGTGCGCTACATTGCTTTATGTTCAAACAACATTAAATATACATTATTATTCCTGGAGCCTTCACATACGAAGATATCTGACGGCGTCTTTAAGCCTGTATCCCGTGTGTTAATTTATTCAACTTTTAGAAGCGTGAATTTATAATTGTTGAAAGTCGTGTTATTTTCCAGTGGAAGAGTGTAATAGTATCTGTTTCGTAGTCGTCGGTGTCCAACACCCAGATAATCTTCATGCTGATTTCGGTATCGTCTGGAAAGGGAGACACGAACCTGGGATTTGTGTTTATGTCTTTCTGATGTGACGACCAGAAAGAGCAGTGGTGCAGGGACACTGCCTTGGGGTACAGAGCAGTGGTGCAGGAACACTGCCTTGGGGTACAGAGCAGTGGTGCAGGGCCACTACCTTGGGGTACAGAGCAGTGGTGCAGGAACACTGCCTTGGGGTACAGAGCAGTGGTGCAGGGCCACTGCCTTGGGGTACAGAGCAGTGGTGTAGGGCCACTGCCTTGGGGTACAGAGCAGTGGTGCAGGGCCACTGCCTTGGGGTACAGAGCAGTGGTGCAGGGCCACTGCCTTGGGGTACAGAGCAGTGGTGCAGGAACACTGCCTTGGGGTACAGAGCAGTGGTGCAGGGCCACTACCTTGGGGTACAGAGCAGTGGTGCAGGAACACTGCCTTGGGGTACAGAGCAGTGGTGCAGGGACACTGCCTTGGGGTACAGAGCAGTGGTGCAGGAACACTGCCTTGGGGTACAGAGCAGTGGTGCAGGAACACTGCCTTGGGGTACAGAGCAGTGGTGCAGGGCCACTGCCTTGGGGTACAGAGCAGTGGTGTAGGGCCACTGCCTTGGGGTACAGAGCAGTGGTGCAGGGACACTGCCTTGGGGTACAGAGCAGTGGTGCAGGAACACTGCCTTGGGGTACAGAGCAGTGGTGCAAGGACCACTGCCTTGGGGTACAGAGCAGTGGTGCAAGGACCACTGCCTTGGGGTACAGAGCAGTGGTGCAGGGACACTGCCTTGGGGTACAGAGCAGTGGTGCAGGAACACTGCCTTGGGGTACAGAGCAGTGGTGCAAGGACCACTGCCTTGGGGTACAGAGCAGTGGTGCAAGGACCACTGCCTTGGGGTACAGAGCAGTGGTGCAAGGACCACTGCCTTGGGGTACAGAGCAGTGGTGCAAGGACCACTGCCTTGGGGTACAGAGCAGTGGTCCAAGGACCACTGCCTTGGGGTACAGAGCAGTGGTGCAGGAACACTGCCTTGGGGTACAGAGCAGTGGTGCAAGGACCACTGCCTTGGGGTACAGAGCAGTGGTGCAGGGACACTGCCTTGGGGTACAGAGCAGTGGTGCAGGGACCACTGCCTTGGGGTACAGAGCAGTGGTGCAGGGACACTGCCTTGGGGTACAGAGCAGTGGTGCAGGGACCACTGCCTTGGGGTACAGAGCAGTGGTGCAGGAACACTGCCTTGGGGTACAGAGCAGTGGGGCAGGGACCACTGCCTTGGGGTACAGAGCAGTGGTGCAGGAACACTGCCTTGGGGTACAGAGCAGTGGTGCAAGGACCACTGCCTTGGGGTACAGAGCAGTGGTGCAGGGACACTGCCTTGGGGTACAGAGCAGTGGTGCAGGGACCACTGCCTTGGGGTACAGAGCAGTGGTGCAGGGACACTGCCTTGGGGTACAGAGCAGTGGTGCAGGGACCACTGCCTTGGGGTACAGAGCAGTGGTGCAGGAACACTGCCTTGGGGTACAGAGCAGTGGTGCAGGGACCACTGCCTTGGGGTACAGAGCAGTGGTGCAGGAACACTGCCTTGGGGTACAGAGCAGTGGTGCAGGGACCACTGCCTTGGGGTACAGAGCAGTGGTGCAAGGACCACTGCCTTGGGGTACAGAGCAGTGGTGCAGGAACACTGCCTTGGGGTACAGAGCAGTGGTGCAGGGACCACTGCCTTGGGGTACAGAGCAGTGGTGCAAGGACCACTGCCTTGGGGTACAGAGCAGTGGTGCAGGGACCACTGCCTTGGGGTACAGAGCAGTGGTGCAAGGACCACTGCCTTGGGGTACAGAGCAGTGGTGCAAGGACCACTGCCTTGGGGTACAGAGCAGTGGTGCAAGGACCACTGCCTTGGGGTACAGAGCAGTGGTGCAAGGACCACTGCCTTGGGGTACAGAGCAGTGGTGCAAGGACCACTGCCTTGGGGTACAGAGCAGTGGTGCAAGGACCACTGCCTTGGGGTACAGAGCAGTGGTGCAAGGACCACTGCCTTGGGGTACAGAGCAGTGGTGCAAGGACCACTGCCTTGGGGTACAGAGCAGTGGTGCAAGGACCACTGCCTTGGGGTACAGAGCAGTGGTGCAGGGACCACTGCCTTGGGGTACAGAGCAGTGGTGCAGGGACCACTGCCTGGGGGACAGAGCAGTGGTGCAAGGACCACTGCCTTGGGGTACAGAGCAGTGGTGCAAGGACCACTGCCTTGGGGTACAGAGCAGTGGTGCAAGGACCACTGCCTTGGGGTACAGAGCAGTGGTGCAAGGACCAATGCCTGGGGGTACAGAGCAGTGGTGCAGGGACCACTGCCTTGGGGTACAGAGCAGTGGTGCAAGGACCACTGCCTTGGGGTACAGAGCAGTGGTGCAAGGACCACTGCCTTGGGGTACAGAGCAGTGGTGCAAGGACCACTGCCTTGGGGTACAGAGCAGTGGTGCAAGGACCACTGCCTTGGGGTACAGAGCAGTGGTGCAAGGACCACTGCCTTGGGGTACAGAGCAGTGGTGCAAGGACCACTGCCTTGGGGTACAGAGCAGTGGTGCAGGGACCACTGCCTTGGGGTACAGAGCAGTGGTGCAGGGACACTGCCTTGGGGTACAGAGCAGTGGTGCAAGGACCACTGCCTTGGGGTACAGAGCAGTGGTGCAGGGACCACTGCCTTGGGGTACAGAGCAGTGGTGCAAGGACCACTGCCTTGGGGTACAGAGCAGCGGTGCAGGGACCACTGCCTTGGGTACAGAGCAGTGGTGCAAGGACCACTGCCTTGGGGTACAGAGCAGTGGTGCAGGGACCACTGCCTTGGGGTACAGAGCAGTGGTGCAGGGACCACTGCCTTGGGGTACAGAGCAGTGGTGCAAGGACCACTGCCTTGGGGTACAGAGCAGTGGTGCAAGGACCACTGCCTTGGGGTACAGAGCAGTGGTGCAAGGACCACTGCCTTGGGGTACAGAGCAGTGGTGCAAGGACCACTGCCTTGGGGTACAGAGCAGTGGTGCAAGGACCACTGCCTTGGGGTACAGAGCAGTGGTGCAAGGACCACTGCCTTGGGGTACAGAGCAGTGGTGCAGGGACCACTGCCTTGGGGTACAGAGCAGTGGTGCAGGGACACTGCCTTGGGGTACAGAGCAGTGGTGCAAGGACCACTGCCTTGGGGTACAGAGCAGTGGTGCAGGGACCACTGCCTTGGGGTACAGAGCAGTGGTGCAAGGACCACTGCCTTGGGGTACAGAGCAGTGGTGCAGGGACCACTGCCTTGGGGTACAGAGCAGTGGTGCAAGGACCACTGCCTTGGGGTACAGAGCAGTGGTGCAGGGACCACTGCCTTGGGGTACAGAGCAGTGGTGCAGGGACAACTGCCTTGGGGTACAGAGCAGTGGTGCAGGAACACTGCCTTGGGGTACAGAGCAGTGGTGCAGGGAACACTGCCTTGGGGTACAGAAGTTTTCACTTTGCTCGGACTATATTTAGTTCGGTTTATCTCTTTATGACCTGCTTGTAAAAAAGAAAAACAAAACTAATGCCTCATTTTGTCTGTTATACATTTGAATTATATCTTTATTTGTGGTGAGAGCTAGGTATAGCACTATAATATATATATATATATATATATATATATATATATATATATATATATATATATATATATATATATATATATATTATTAAATATGACCGAAAAAGTAAGATTAATAATTCTAACACGAATTTTCTCAATCTTTCGTACATTACGCTTCACTGTTGGAGGTAAATCAAAAATCACTTCTCCAAAATTCATTTTTATTTCTAGTCTGACGCGACACGGGCGCGTTTCGTAAAACTTATTACATTTTCAAAGACTTCACAAATACACAACTGATTAGAACTTGCGTTTCCCTGATTTTATATCTACATTTGAGTGAGGTGGGAAGGGTGATGTGGCATTACATTTGAGTGAGGTGGGAAGGATGATGTGGCATTAACACAAGACAGAACACTAGGGGATATTAATAGGGTATTAAAAGTATCAACACAAGACAGAACAGAAACAATGGGTATTGAATAGAAGTGTTTGTAGAAAACCTATTGGTCCATATTTCTTGATGCTTCTATATTGGAGCGGAGTCTTGAGGTGGGTAGAATATAGTTGTGCAATAATTGGCTGTTGATTGCTGGTATGCGTTACGTATGCGTTAACAACACTCCTCTTGTACCTGTCAGGGCAGTCGCTAACGCATACGTCGACCGTGCTCTCAGCCACAGCTCAGAATGGAAGCAAGTGAAGAACTCTGTAGGGTAAGGCAGGTCCTAGTCAATAACGGCTTCTCCAATGGTTTCATCGAAGACATCATCAGAAGGAAAGTGAAAAGCCATGCAACCTCCGAAGAGACAACTAACACAACACCTATACCCCCTATTAGACTATTTTACAGGAACTTCTTTTCCACAGCTCATAAAACAGAGGAAAGGGTCCTGAAAGATATTGTTAATAGAAACGTTATCCCTACAGACAAAAATCAGAGGATACAACTGACTATTTACTATAAAACCAGAAAAACGGCCAGCCTACTCATGAGAAACTCTCCAGACACAAAACAGAACGCTTTAAAAGAGACTAACGTCGTCTATGCCTTCAAATGCCCACTTGGGGACTGTAAGCTCCAAAAAACCCAGTATATAGGCAAGACAACAACATCTCTTTCTAGGCGTTTAACGATGCATAAACAACAGGGCTCCATTAAGGAACATATAATCTCTTCCCATAACCAAACCATCGCCAGAGAAATCCTAGTAAACAACACAGAAATCATCGATAGATACAGCGATAGCAGGCGGCTTGACGTTTGCGAGGCACTACACATCAAGAAGTCAACACCAGCAATCAACAGCCAATTATTGCACAACTATATTCTACCCACCTCAAGACTCCGCTCCAATATAGAAGCATCAAGAAATATGGACCAATAGGTTTTCTACAAACACTTCTATTCAATACCCATTGTTTCTGTTCTGTCTTGTGTTGATACTTTTAATATCCCCTAGTGTTCTGTCTTGTGTTAATGCCACATCATCCTTCCCACCTCACTCAAATGTAATGCCACATCACCCTTCCCACCTCACTCAAATGTAGATATAAAATCAGGGAAACGCAAGTTCTAATCAGTTGTGTATTTGTGAAGTCTTTGAAAATGTAATAAGTTTTACGAAACGCGCCCGTGTCGCGTCAGACTAGAAATAAAAATGAATTTTGGAGAAGTGATTTTTGATTTACCTCCAACAGTGAAGCGTAATGTACGAAAGATTGAGAAAATTCGTGTTAGAATTATTAATCTTACTTTTTCGGTCATATTTAATAATATATGTCTACAGGAAAGACTGCTACCAAAATATACTAATATATATATATATATATATATATATATATATATATATATATATATATATATATATATATATATATATATATATATATATATATATATATATTAGAGAGATATGGAAAGAAATAGAGAGAAATAGAGTGAATATAAAAGAGGAGGAGGTGATGGTAGCCATGAATGAGAGCGTCCATAAGAGCATCAAGAGTGAACACGGCCCGCGACACCTGGCTCCCGGGGTCCAAGGCAGCAGCAGCACTCCATCAGCCTCAACTTACCTGAATATTCAACTCGAGGTTTTTCCATTGGCAGAATCTGGTGTACTTGTCACTGTAAGAGAGAAGAGGGGAGAGGTGCGCATCAGTACCCAACCAGCCTCACCACGCACCCTAACTCGTAACTCACTCACTCACTCTAATTATTAACACACACAAGCACACAATTACATGTTTGTTCACTACAAGGTATGAAGTGAGAGAGGCGGACAGTGAGTGAGACAGTAAATACTTACATATTACTGCATATATTTCATTCACTTATACCATACGTGCCTCAAACCGCACACCATATAAGGAACAGTCCACAGCTCTACCCACACACACACACACACACACACACACACACACACACACACACACACACACACACACACACACACACACACACACACACACACACACACAATATGGAAGATAACATTTATCTAGCTGGACGCGGCCGAGACATCTATGGAAACTGTAGAGTAACAAATGTGTAACCCACAGCCTAGTAAATTGTAAAGTAACAGACTTTCTCCCACCCACAGCCTGGAAAACTGGGGCCAAGATTAATGACTTTGTTCCATGAGGTTGTTGCTTGCAGCGGCCCGCACGCCCACATATCCTATTACAACCCGGCTGATCAGGCACTTACTGCAGGAGCTGGTTCAATTGCTTGTTTCAAACATCCAGTTGTGAGTAATATTTCTTACACATTACGGAAGTAGGTTAATGAGCCGTAGGCCTGTGCTAGCCATACAGTGTGGCCATGGCGCCTCCTGCACTACCTACCATATCTCTCGCTCCAGTAACACATTTGCTGGTGTATTTTTTTGAGATATTTATACAAGAGTTGTTGCATTCTTGTAGAGCCACTAGTACGCGTAGCGTTTCGGGCAGGTCCCTGGAATACGATCCCCGCCGCGAAGAATCCTTGTTACAACCAAGTACACATTTTACTGTTGAGTTAAACAGAGGCTACAGTTAAGGATTTGTGCCCAGTAAATCCTCCCCGGCCAGGATACGAACCCATGACAAAGCGCTCGCGGAACGCCAGGCGAGTGTCTTACAACTGCACCACGGAGACTAAATATTATGTGATGCCTCTCTCATCTCCTTTACTGAGAGTACAAATTTACTTGTAACTCAATATTGGGGCACTTGAGGCTTGGAGAGTTGTACTGTGGGAGGGAGGGAGGGGTGGAGGGCCGGCTGGTCACCAGGTGCCAGATTATATGGTGGGGACGGAGGGAGGACCCGCGCCACCATGCTCCCTACACCTCACACAATACCTGTTTGTCACCACAAGATATGATTAATTACCTGCTGGGGTAATGGAGGCGCACCCTTAACACCCTCCCCTGGGAGACGGGGAGGGGAGAGAGCAATAACACCCTCCCCTGGGAGACGGGGAGGGGGGGAGCAATAACATCCTCCCCTGGGAGACGGGGAGGGGGGGGGAGCAACAACACCCTCCCCTGGGAGACGGGGAGGGGGGAGAGCAACAACACCCTCCCCTGGGAGACGGGGAGGGGGGAGAGCAACAACACCCTCCCCTGGGAGACGGGGAGGGGGGGAGCAACAACACCCTCCCCTGGGAGACGGGGAGGGGGGGGGAGCAACAACACCCTCCCTGGGAGACGGGGAGGGGGGGGGAGCAACAACACCCTCCCCTGGGAGACGGGGAGGGGGGGGGGAGCAACAACACCCTCCCCTGGGAGACGGGGAGGGGGGGGGAGCAACAACACCCTCCCCTGGGAGACGGGGAGGGGGGGGGAGCAACAACACCCTCCCCTGGAGACGGGGAGGGGGGGGGGGAGAGCAACAACACCCTCCCCTGGGAGACGGGGAGGGGGGGGGGAGCAACAACACCCTCCCCTGGGAGACGGGGAGGGGGGGGGGAGCAACAACACCCTCCCCTGGGAGACGGGGAGGGGGGGGGGAGCAACAACACCCTCCCCCTCCATCCTCTACATACTCTCCCGGAGACCAGTGTGTGTGTGTACAGGAGAGGTGTATGTATAGTTAAGTCTAGGCGGTGTCTGGGTAGTGGTGATGTAGGGGGAGTTTACAGTAGAGGCCAGAGGTGATGTAGGGGAGTTTACAGTAGAGGCCAGAGGTGATGTAGGGGAGTTTACAGTAGAGGCCAGAGGTGATGTAGGGGGAGTTTACAGTAGAGGCCAGAGGTGATGTAGGGGAGTTTACAGTAGAGGCCAGACGGGGTGATGTAGGGAGAGTTTACAGTAGAGGCCAGACGGGGTGATGTAGGGGGAGTTTACAGTAGAGGCCAGAGGTGATGTAGGGGAGTTTACAGTAGAGGCCAGAGGTGATGTAGGGGGAGTTTACAGTAGAGGCCAGAGGTGATGTAGGGGAGTTTACAGTAGAGGCCAGAGGTGATGTAGGGGAGTTTACAGTAGAGGCCAGAGGTGATGTAGGGGGAGTTTACAGTAGAGGCCAGAGGTGATGTAGGGGAGTTTACAGTAGAGGCCAGAGGTGATGTAGGGGAGTTTACAGTAGAGGCCAGACGGGGTGATGTAGGGAGAGTTTACAGTAGAGGCCAGAGGTGATGTAGGGAGAGTTTACAGTAGAGGCCAGACGGGGTGATGTAGGGGGAGTTTACAGTAGAGGCCAGAGGTGATGTAGGGGAGTTTACAGTAGAGGCCAGAGGTGATGTAGGGGAGTTTACAGTAGAGGCCAGAGGTGATGTAGGAGAGTTTACAGTAGAGGCCAGACGGGGTGATGTAGGGAGAGTTTACAGTAGAGGCCAGACGGGGTGATGTAGGGGGAGTTTACAGTAGAGGCCAGAGGTGATGTAGGGGAGTTTACAGTAGAGGCCAGACGGGGTGATGTAGGGGGAGTTTACAGTAGAGGCCAGACGGGGTGATGTAGGGGGAGTTTACAGTAGAGGCCAGAGGTGATGTAGGGGAGTTTACAGGAGAGGCCAGACGAGGTGATGTAGGGGGAGTTTACAGTAGAGGCCAGAGGTGATGTAGGGGAGTTTACAGTAGAGGCCAGACGAGGTGATGTAGGGGGAGTTTACAGTAGAGGCCAGACGGGGTGATGTAGGGGGAGTTTACAGTAGAGGCCAGAGGTGATGTAGGGGAGTTTACAGTAGAGGCCAGACGAGGTGATGTAGGGGGAGTTTACAGTAGAGGCCAGAGGTGATGTAGGGGAGTTTACAGTAGAGGCCAGACGGGGTGATGTAGGGGAGTTTACAGTAGAGGCCAGAGGTGATGTAGGGGAGTTTACAGTAGAGGCCAGACGATGTGATGTAGGGGGAGTTTACAGTAGAGGCCAGACGGGGTGATGTAGGGGGAGTTTACAGTAGAGGCCAGAGGTGATGTAGGGGAGTTTACAGTAGAGGCCAGACGAGGTGATGTAGGGGGAGTTTACAGTAGAGGCCAGACGGGGTGATGTAGGGGGAGTTTACAGTAGAGGCCAGACGAGGTGATGTAGGGGAGTTTACAGTAGAGGCCAGAGGGGAGTGCCTCCAGCCACACTAACAACTGTACACAATAGAGACTATTATCAACTATGGACAACACCCATTGTGTACACACACACCGTACACCACCTGCTGGGCTCAATAAGTCACTCCTGCAGAGTGGATAACCATTAATTGCATCCATTATTAGGCCAAGAGTCGAAACTTTGTGCGAGAATGACCAGTTGGTAATATTATTATGTAATGTTTAGTTACATTTTCTAACCAGTAGCTGAAAAACTAATTTATCAATGACAAGGTCGCTAACATTTGCCTGCTTGCCTTAATTGTTTTGTCTGAATTTATATTTATATATTTTTTAAACTTAATGATATTACGAGTGGGCACATAGGGCTTGCCCAGTGAGTGAGTTGTGTGCTCAGAACACCTAGGTACACTTCCAAGTATTAATCTGCGGTGTTGAGTTGTCAACTGCCTGCCTCTCAACCTGGCTGCTTGGCTGGCTGGCAGCCTCCCTGCCACCCTGCCACTCAGCCTACCTCCCTGCCACCCTGCCTAACAGCCTCCCTGCCACTCAGCCTACCTCCCTGCCACCCTGCCACTCAGCCTACCTCCCTGCCACCCTGCCTAACAGCCTCCCTGCCACCCTGCCACTCAGCCTACCTCCCTGCCACCCTGCCTAACAGCCTCCCTGCCACCCTGCCACTCAGCCTACCTCCCTGCCACCCTGCCACTCAGCCTACCTCCGTGCCACCCTGCCTAACAGCCTCCCTGCCTAGCTGGCGAGCCACTAGCACCATTAAACCTTCTCTCCCAAAATTATGGTGAAAACATTACCATTATTACTTATGTATAATATATTACTTAAGCGTGACTTGTGCTCCACTTTTGTCCGCCTCTGTAACAGACCCCAGGATGACGACGTCTCCCAGCAGGAGGGGGAGGGGCAGCAGGAGGGGGGGCAGCAGGAGGGGGGGGCAGCAGGAAGGGGGGGGGGGCAGCAGGAGGGGGGGTCAGCAGGAGGGGGGGGCAGCAGGAGGGGGAGGGGCAGCAGGAGGGGGGGAGCAGCAGGAGGGGGGGGGGCAGCAGGAGGGGGGGAGCAGGAGGGGGGGCAGCAGGAGGGGGAGGGGCAGCAGGAGGGGGAGGGGCAGCAGGAGGGGGGGGGGCAGCAGGAGGGGGGGGTACACACACATCACCAGCAGGAAGAAAATGGAGACAATTCCGTACAGTAAATGAGAGAGAGAGATAGGGTGACTGGTGGTCCAGTTGGTCCTAGACCAGACGGCTCCCGGCGCCCGTCACCTTAATGTGCCGCGCCGCCCCTGTCATGGTGCCACACACGCCTGCTGGCACCTGGCACCAGGTGAACACTACCCCTCCTGACCTGCAGAGGTCGCTCTACACCACCACTGGTGACCTGTAGAGCCCGCTCTACACCACCACTGGTGACCTGCAGAGGTCGCTCTACACCACCACTGGTCACCTGTAGAGGCCGCTCTACACCACCACTGGTCACCTGTAGAGGCCGCTCTACACCACCACTGGTCACCTGTAGAGGCCGCTCTACACCACCACTGGTCACCTGTAGAGGCCGCTCTACACCACCACTGGTGACCTGTAGAGCCCGC